AATGCCAAAACTTTAAGTAGTAAACTTTTAAAGTTTGTTATGCTTTTTGCAAGCTGTTATAAAACTATTGTACGGATTTGAGTAAAATAAACGCCTAATTGTAGAGAAATATACATTTTCAAAGGTTTCAACTAATAATATCCAGCCATTATAAAGCCTATCACCGAAACTAGGTCAAACTGCTTAATTAACCATAAGCACTCTCAGTTTTTAATCAACCCTTTTAAAACAAATTCAGTTTGATCAAGTAGATACATAGAAAGCCCTTTTAAATAGATATGTTGAAGAAATAATATTAAAGATGGGTTCCCTTATTTTCATTTATGAAAATAAAAATGCTAACACTTAAATGAAAAGAAAGTAAAGGTGTTCTAATGACTTGGAAAAATACCAGTTTGTCTCACATGTCCATAATTTATTCATAATTAGCTAAATTAGAAGATAATTCCAGCAGATTTCCAATGAGTGACCGATCAAGAAAGGTCAAAAAGTCTTTTTTTGTTTATCCAGACTGTAAATCATGGACATTTATGACTGGTTAAAACTCTTAATTACATACAATATAAGAAAAATAATGATATGATAAAGAATTCATGATAATTCATTAGAATCACCAATTAATCAAATAGTTTGCTTAATTTGACACTAAAAAATAAGGAAACCCATCTTTAAGAATATTGTCTTCTACAGGGTAATACAACTTGAAAACTGGAACTTCTGTTTTTCTATAAAGAATTTATAGCCAATTTCAGCTACAAAGTATCTTTGTTAATCATACATTAATGGAAGAGAAGATACAAAGTACCACTTTTAGTCTATAGATATATCAAATATACCAGATAGTATATCTTACTTCTACCATTAATTTACAAAGAAAGCTCTTAAATTTTTTTTCTATTTTTATGTTTTAAGTGAGTTAATATAAGCTATGAAACAGAATAAAGACTTAGTTATTGTATAAATAATGTATTTCAGACCTCTTTGACATTTATGCACTTTTGTTGATAAAATTAGGCACTTTACCAATAGCAACTAACATGTCTATGTAAATTCAATTTTAACTGAACATGAAATATGCTCAAACAAATAGAACCAGCAGGGAATCTTATGATGATAAAACATTATGAAGAAAGCTTTAGTAGTCAGATAAATGGCATTTATTTTGTTTGGGCTCCTTAATATCCCAATTTTGAGGACTAAACAGTTTCATCATAAAACTATGCTGGCTAGTTCTGGTAATGGAACCTTGGAACCCCTTTGCCTCCTGTTTTTGAAAGCTTTGAAGGGCATTTCGGAACGACACATTACAATGTAGCATAGATTGAATGAGAACTTAAAATTTAAAACTCTATCAACTTTCTCAGAAGCAAGTATAGTAGCTCTTCAATCAAGTCTTGAGAACATTTGAACTAAGATTTAGAAATTAATGCCCTTATTGGATTCTCTGTAAGATGATGTAAATCTATGTTACAAGTATAAGATAAGCCTTATTACACTTTTGCACCATTAGAATAAATTTGCACATTACCTATGCAGTGCCAAAGTCTGATAATATAGCACAATCTCTTGTTATAATATTCACACCAATATCAATGATTTAAACAGCTTGCTAATCACTATTTCAACAACATGCAGACAGAATAGACCACAAAACGCACTTTATAATTTGAATGTTTCCATCAAAATTGAAAGTATTAAGAAGGTGAAATAAAGAGTAACTTACAGATTAGCTAAATCAACAACAGCTAAAATAACATGATATTATTTTGATGTTAAAACTGGCAAATATCTTTCACCGGTGACTGGCATGTTCCCACAGCATGGCAATCATTTTCATCTGGCAAGATATCAGTTTTAACCTAAATTCTTCTAGTTTTATAACTCTAAACAATATTAATATCTATACCAATATACAAAATAACTTTTAATCATATAAACTATTTCAATTAACTATAAAAGTATTGAATAATCTAAACCCCATTAAGATAAGGAAACGGTTCTTTAAAACTTGCTTTTGATTGGCTAACAGGAACCATATGTTGGAGTTTTATCGGTCAAATTCTGAAGAAACCCATACGTAAAAACTCAACATATTAGAAAGATATCGCCTCCATAAATAGAAACTTCCTGAGAGTAAAGACAGACTCCATATTTACCATTCTTTTTTCCAATTTTTCTAATATTTAAAATTAACATGGAGGAGTGAAAAACACACAGTACCCACAGTGAAAACATTTATATCTAGTCAACAGGCAATAATATTTAAAAACCACCATCTAGCTTGTAGTGTAAAATAAAATACGGTTCCATTACCAAGCTAACAAGCCCCTCATGAATTGTGACTGGTTCCAAAAACAACCACTATCTCAAATATATTCATGAACATTTTGGGTATGCTTACTCAAATAGAAAATGATTCTCATAGAAATCTAACAGAGACCATAAGATACTGTTGTTAATCATTCAAAAAAAAGACCAGAACCTTTGTAAAAAAAACCTTTATTTATTTAAAGATCTTTAAAAAATTTAAATATTACTTCTTAATAGGGTCTGTGTTGTAAGAACACTTGTTCAGGACTATGCACACAGAATAGATTTACTGATCAATATTACTTCTGGAGTTATGTCCCTTTATACAGATTTCAATGCAACATTTTACAAGACAAATAAATTGAACCTACCTGTCTATGTCATACTCTTCTTCTGGTGTCAAAAGCACATGATGTATGAATCATAATCAGTCTTCTTTCATTAGAATCTAGTGACATTCTTTAATCTTGATTCCATATGTAGTAGCAGCACATAGAAAGTTTTGTACAGCGCAAGCGACATCAAAATTACAGTAGAAACTGATGGCTTCACTTTGATATGTTCTTTTAGTTAAGCTTATTTTAAATTTCATGTATGGATCTGTAAATTTGAGTGTGCTGCATGTATTATTTTTATTGTAATATGTGATATGGTTCTGCCATAGCAGGGGAATCCCTTGTTTAGGTTACTATGTGTATTTATATAGGTGAAAAATCTTTTTTATTGTAATTCCATATGTTATGTAGTCCATATTTAAAATCAAAAGTAACATATGCTTTATATGTTGCAAGATATAGCTAAAAAGGAATAGTAAGTTTATTGTCATTTGCTATGATGTGATTTACCAGAACGTGCAGGTCATCAATATTAACATCTATTGGATGGCTGTAATTTTGCTTTTGGGTTTTTACAATCTTGATTTGTTTGTATATTTGTAAGGTAAAAGATCTCTTACCTTGTTTATATATCCACCTCACATCTTCGTCTTGTATCTCTAAAAAAAAAAATAAAATAAACATTTCTTGTTTATCAACAGAAGAATCAAAAACAGAATAAAAATTTTGTGAAAAATCTCAAAGACATGTCCAAACTCACATGGATATTGAAAGGTCAAACTCTATATCAGTATAAATTTTGAACCAAATAGCCCATGGACAACCTATAACCATGGTATTGCTAGGTTGAGATTGAAGTTCCAAATGACAATATTAAAACTTGTTGTTTAGAAGAAAATGAATTTGGAGTGAACTGTGATTGAAATTTATATCACTATAACAAAATAAATACAGAAGTGAATATAACTCATGCCTAAGTAAAAACTAATTCAACCTCCATTTTGAGAGAACTGAAACTCGATTAACCATGACTGCTGGTCAAAGAGTGTACCTGAACAGATGTCATATGTAAGCTAGAAAGATAGAAGAAAAGACAATGGAATATCTGAGCTGAATTGTGGTGACTACAAATTCTATCCCCCATGTCCAAATTAACCACAGTTATCAATTAGTAGAAAATTACATCAGAGGACAGTGCCAATTAAATCAATGTATCAAGCATGACTAAAACAAGTATAAAAAAATATCAGCACATCCTAGGACATTGCACTTTTCTTAACCTACTGTCGAAATTTGATATTAATCTGACAAAAGATTTTGGAAACATCACATACTGCAGTGCATATGTGGTGCTTCACCTTCAAGACCTTCCCATCGTATGTAATGAAAGACTAACAGGTTACCAGAATGGTAACCAATTGGTTTGAAAGTTCAAGTCCTCCTATTACAACCAATCAAATCACTTATGGCCTTCAGCAAAATGGTGGAGAAAAATTTCTTAGTTTTCACTACTCACCGATTAATCTAAATTTTGCGATAAATCAGCCTAATGAGGTGTTGACATTAATAGACTTTAGTGCGGATATGTTGTTTTACGCATGAAGTGTGTTTTAACGCATGGTAGTCTACATTCACAATTTGACCATATAAATCTAGTCTACAATGTGTAGATAAAATACCAACTGTCATCATATTTGACTACCATAATGGTCTAGTCTGAATGTCTAGCTTTCAAATAGCCTATACAACATAATAACACACAAGAGTAGGATATCTGTAAAGCATTAAGCTATGACAAGATTTTTTAATTGGTTAACTTCAAAATTCCTACATTTTCATTTTCGATTTGTAAGCCTATAGATAAAGCGATCAAGTAACGTCACATGTTATCTGAATTCACCTTTCGTTCGAAAATTAAAACACAACGAAATGTTGCCAATCAACTTGACATCACATTTTTTAAAGAGAAACGATAAATCTTCACAATTTGGTGAGTATAATTACCTGTTTCATATCATAGAGGTCTTGAAAACTTTTTTGATTTTTCAAACAACTTCAAATTGTGTTTTCTCCGCAATATTTTTGTTTACTTTCCCTTTCACTTCCGGGTCGTAGTATAAATTAGTTGTCCTAAAAGGTGGATATGGCATTGTAAACATAATGAATAAAATCAAATCATGATTGACTTTTATGCCAATTTAAGAAATGAATATAATTTAAGTAGATTCTGATATTTTTCTATACAAAGCATCAAATAGTTTACAATGATGACAAAAGAAGGTTTTCATTGCAAATCCAAATCTAAATTTACATTCACGATATATCCCATCAACCCTTTCTACTTCCTTTCCCAATAATATTTTCAAGTTGAAGGATATTATCGTAAGTGCTCTCTGCAAAAATCCACGTGAATCGCAAGAAGTACACAAATTAAGCATACATCTATCCTATACTTAGAAATAAAATTGATTTTCCCCTCTCATATTTGTTATTTTATTCTTATTTCAGAAGGACGTCCTATCACAATGTCTGATGAGGAAGGGTGAGTGTTTTTACGAGCTGGTCAATCTTGGCATGCTTCTCTGCTCAAACTAATCTGAATTCCTATGCAATAAACCATTAGAAGGGTAGGGTTGGCGCTACGCGATAAGATTTGTTCCCTGTCCAGACTATTATGTCATCTAAAATGACACGTTGATCGAAATATTGCAATTGTAACCAAAATTGATCTATTGATCTTCACTATTTGATTTAGATACTGACCCGCAATACGTTTATTCAAAGCTTAAAATATGTCAGTTTTTAATGGAAAAGCAAAGTACAGATGTAAATTACACTGAGAAAAAGACAAGATGGTGGATCTATTCTAGCATGTGGTCTTTTTACAGTGCATGCAATTGACTTCGCTTACCTTAAGTCAGCAATTTCTTACATTCACTTCTGTTCACCTCATCTGTTATTCAAGCGACATAATAGATCTGCATGGCTACAGGATATAAGCTATTTAGAAACTGATGACATATGACTGGTGAATTATCTATCAAAATGTGACTGAAAAACAAAGGTCCCTATTTATGATATTCTTATTTTCATTCTTAGAGATAATGTTCCTGCTGCACCAGCAGCATCAGGGCCTATGGATCTTTACACCGCATTGCAAGAAGTTTTGAAAACCTCACTCATTCATGATGGTCTTGCTAGAGGTCTTCATGAATGTGCCAAGGCACTTGACAAGTAAGTACTTTAAAGGAGATTACTGATTTAATTTTCTTAAGATGGTGATCTGAATATATCACGCCATCGATTTTGGAAGAATCATCTGTTAATTTGTCATATGAAATGGATTAATCTGAAAGCTGACATATTGTATCTTTTGAGGGAAAAAAGCAGCCTGTCCATTAATTTATGATTTTTGTTTTGCAGACGTCAAGCTCACATGTGTATATTAGCTAACAATTGTGATGAACCAGCCTATGTCAGATTAGTTGAAGCTCTCTGTGCTGAACATGGCATTAACTTACTGAAAGTAAGTGATATTAAGATTTAAATATTTCATACTTGGCCTTTTGCAGCTACTTCAGATGATACAATTATGAATTTTGTAGAACAGTCTTGAACCATCTCTGAAATACTGGGTATTTGCTTCTGTTTTTAATTAGTTAGGACTAAGGAAAGTGTAATTATTGTTATTTATTGGTATATTTTTCAGGTAGATGATAACAAGAAGCTAGGAGAATGGGCTGGTTTATGCCGAATTGATAAAGAAGGAAAGGCTAGAAATGTAATTGGTTGTAGCTGTGTTGTAATCAAGGTTTGTAATTTATCAATAAGGCTGGCAAATTCACCTGCTACTTTTTGGAGTTGTCTACCTTTACACAGATTTTGTTTCTGTGAAGGCCATGTGCATGTTTCTGCTTTTGTCTTTGAGGGTTCACATAGCTGTCGATATAGTTTATTGGATTAGACAGGATGTTGTTTATGATTGTTGTAGCATGCTATTAACAAAGGTTTAAATTATATTTCAGGATTATGGTAAAGAATCACAAGCCTTGGATATCATCAATGAATATTTCAAATCTAAGAAATAAAATGTTACTAAGAAATTAAAAATAAATGCGGTGTAAAAATCCCTTATCAGTTGTTTTCCTTTCTCCAAAAAATGCCACAAATTTGAGGCAATATATTCATATGAAATATCTTTTAATAGAATTTCAGTTGTTTTGCTAGGTTTCATATTCAGGGCTTATCTGTTGCATTTTTCTATTTTCCAGTTAGTGCATTTCAGTTTAGCGATCAATAGTGTGCTTAATTTGACACTGAGAAATAAGGAAAACTACAACAAAGTGATAGATCAACCCCTCGCCCATCTTGGTACTTGTCATTTTTACAATGTCAAGCTATTGCGAATCGGGCTAAAATCAATCACAAATGTCTTTGTCCATGCAGCAAATTGGATTGTCCGCTAGCTAATGCAGCCAATGAAAGTCTTCCACAGAAAGAATTACAAATTTGACTCATAATCTGGGGCTACTGCAGTCAAAATATTGTCTGCAGATAAAAAATCTTGACATTGTGGATATGGGTACTTGTATCCCTCGTAGTCAACATGAGCAAAGGAAGTGATTGATTGCTATCAACTGTGGTTGGTCAAGGTTTCCAACGACTAGATCAAATTTTTGCGATTTGACATTCGTCTTTACCACCAGTTGCAGGCAGTCGTTGAAAATCCCACTGTTTTCTGATTGTGCCAGTCGACCTGACCCCGTTGTTAGATGCTTAAAATATATGGGTGTACCCCGACATTTATTCGGAGAGAATATCTTCTTAGTCGTGTGTGCCATTTTGAGGGGTTGATTTGAGTCCTGTATATAATATGTAAATAGTCTTCAGAATTGCTACAAATGTATGAAAATCACATATTCCTTCAAAAATATCTCGAACTAGGAATATTTTCTATTTCTATAAATACCTTGAAAAGACTCTTTAACTTAAAAACGCAGATAATTCTAGACATACATGGATTTGAAAGCTCAAATTTCGACGGTAAGCTGTGAACAATATTACTGATGGGCTTAGCTAAGGAATTCCTGTTTCTAAGACTAAGGTACGCTTAGTAAATGGCACATCCGTCACCTTAAAGTGGCAGCATGGACTAATGATTAGTGTACAGTTTGATATAAGCTAGGCTAATGGTAAAATATTATTTGGTAATACAGTTACTAATCTAAAACGCCCTAGTCTTTTACAACAATTTAAATTGCTTATTATCGAGTGATAACTCTGAAAACTCGTGTAAAAAAACAGCAATTGATGCACAAAAGAATCCGCCCACTTATCACGATCTTCATGTGCCTTTGTCCGATTCTGATTCAAGATGTGTTTAATCTTGCCTATATTCAACCTGAAAGAGGAATTCCGCTTTTTTTGCAAAACATTTTCATTATGAAAACGTTGTAAATTATATCTGAAAATATTTCTAAAGTATGCTATGTATATCTGATCAAACTGAATTTTTTTTAAATTAAAAACGGGGAGTACTTATTGTTAATTAAGCAGACATAATGAAAATAAAATAGCCTTGACCGTAATAAATAAAAAATACTAACGTCCTTGATAAGAAAAAATAGCCAAAGTACAGCTTCTGGCTGTAATTAAATTTATTTATAATAAGGTCAAAAAAACAATGAAACCTCACATGTAATTAAATGTAAGAGACCTATTATGAGTGATTTGCGATTTGCCAAGGTTGCACCTAGTCGGAAACTTAAACCATAAAGTTCCACATATCAATTATTCACTGTTGTAATTTTAAGCAAATTTGAATTATGTCTTGTTTCTGCAAATTTGTGAAACAGACTGCTAAGTATTATGTCAATACTACCCTCTTTAAATATGCCCAATCGCCCTTACTTTGCTAAAATCCGTCAAAATGCTTAATGGAATCTATGGTTTTGGATTCAATTTGGTGAAACTTGGTTTGCATGTGTGGATAGGTGAGTTATTTGGCTATTTCAAAGTTGCTCTGATCAACAATTGTTAGTTATTGTACTTGACATTTTGCAAATGTGTCAAAATTGACTTGTAAATATAATAGAAGCAAAGAGTTTTGGATTCGATCTGATGCAGATTAACGATATCTGAGGCGATTACGAACTAATGTTGTTTCAACTAACAGTGTTTTTAGTTTCACTTTACATGAAAATGTGTCAAATTGAACTTGTGATAAAAGCTGTGAGGAATTGGTTAGCTTGATGAAAGTAAGGGTCCACGATTCTTCTATATGTAATCACATGGATAATTTGAATTATTTAATATTAAATTACCTAAAAAAATTCTTCTTTTATACTAAAAATCCTTTTTTTTATTACTTGCTGAAGTGGACATATATTACCTTGTCTGGCAAGTTTTCTTTTATTGTGTAAAAGCCATCAAAGAAGGGAATTCTAACACATTTAAGACTTATGATTCTCATACTATGCCTTTCAGATATATGAAGAGCTATTGGTGAGTATCTACCTCAATATGATATGAAATAAGTTTTAGAGTAGATTTCGTATTACCTTGACATTGTGAACACGGTTTTCGATTTTTCACTAATTTATAGCACGTAGAAAGAAAAACCTTTGACCTGGAAGTTGCAGTGATACATGGATTGAATATTAACTCATATCCACATTGTTTGATGTTCTCTCGATAATAACTACTTGACATATTTACAATCGAGTCACAATATAGCCCCGTATTCACTGGTTTCTTCCTTTATTTGATTTCTAAAAATAAAGTGGAGTTTGAATAGCATAGTTTCATTATCCGTAATTGTGTCACATGATAAGACGTGAATGTCGAAATGGCGACTGTCAAGACATTTTTAAGTGTATGGATTTTATTATGTATTTCAGGTAGGATATTGTCGTGATATCAAGGTTACAAGATTCTTTTTGTCTGTGATTGAATTATATTAAATATCTTTGTTTTACGTGACGAACATATTTACTCTAGCTTTCAACTTCCAGACGTTTTTGGCATCTTTACATTAGTCGATCTATTTCAAGTATTTGACTATAGGCTTGTGGTAATCAGACAACCAAATTTGAACGAACTCTCATGTTGTTCAGAATATTTTATAGAGTGAGTACTTGAGCGGGTAATTGGTAATTACTGCTTGGACATTTTCACACATACACACCCCCTTATGACCCCGAGACTAATACTGTTGAGAATATCTCTATTCTTTATTGAATTCTTTATCAGTTACAGTAAGGGTTACAGATTATCGGTATTTACACGAATGTACTAAGATCCGTAAGACCTATATGTTTCCTCATGATACCATATGGCAATAGTGTCAGGAGTCAAGAAGAGTATAGCCAAAGCCTTTTGAGCTTGGATTTTGAGCTTATCATAAACTTTCCCACCGTGGAATTTCGTGGCCTATAGGCCTAATTTACTCACTCTTGAGTAGGGAAATTGAAATTGAGGATATTTTTAATATAAATTGCTTCGCTGACTGTCTGCGTTGGTTAAGTATAAAGTTCTTTATTGCAATTGCATTAATTTGATATTATATTAACACATCTTCCTGTGAGAAAATTCACATGGGTCTTTCTGAATTATGATTTTGTCGATTATGTAACCTGACTTTCTGATAGCCACAATAAGCTAGGTTTGTATATTGTAAATAAAATTATTACAAAACCTTTCAGTACCAAATGAGGCTGTGGATAGTTTACGATTCTTGGTTATGGGAGATTGGGGAGGATTACCTACCTTTCCTTACACCACAAAAATAGAGAAAGGTACCTCTGATGAGATGGGAGTTATTGCCAGTCGTTATGGTGTGTCATTCATTACTGCTATTGGAGATAATTTCTATTATGATGGTGTTACAAATGTTTCTGATCACCGATTTCAGGTGAGTTCATATGGGGTAGATCACAAACAAATTATACCACAAAGGCGGTCCGCTTTGGAAATGCTTCGTTCCAATGCATTGTCGATGCATGGTCTTAAGCTAGACACATTGTCAGTTTGATAATATTGGAATTCCGTTCTCTCTTTTTTTCTTTAAAGCAGTGATGTGATTCTTCCGTCAGGAATAGTAACGAGCTGAAACATGCTTCCATTCTATTGCTTTATTCTGTTTAAACGACACAGAAAAAAGCCATGCAATTGTGGCTTATATTCTTATCTGGAAATTCAGAAGATGTTCTGTTAAGAATTTATCCTTGATGATATCCTTGCATTTATAGGACACGTTTGAGAAGATCTATACAGCCGACTCCCTACAGGTGCCCTGGTATTTAGTGGCTGGTAATCATGATCATAATGGTAATGTATCAGCTGAAATTGAATACACAAAAATATCTAAACGATGGTAAGACATTTTACTCCTACGAACCTTTGGTAGATATTTATAATTATTATCGGCTTGTGTATAGTCGAAAATTGAACTAGTTGTTAGTCACGGTATTTATTAGTCTGGTAAGAGTAAATAAATTTCGGATTATCCACGTATCATAAAAAGTGATCTCAACTTTCGCTCATGGAGGAAACACATATCCGGTATAAATGGCTTTTATTCTCTTAACACGTTTCACGATTTTCCTGTTGCATTATAGAGGATCACGACAGGGAGACAAACAAGATGAACTGATTTCTTTCAAAGTCTTTTTAAAACACATTTCAAACCAGTTGTTTGATGATGTATTTTTGTATTTTGTAAAGCATGATATAGCAGCAGTGATAATCAGCTATAATTTGAACACGCAACGATTTTAATCATCATTTGTGTGTTTGTGGCGCAGCTTGTTTAAGAGAGTGGAGTTGTTCCCCGAATTTACATGAAACAAAGGCAGCAAATTTCGGTGGCCCAAAGGAGTTGAGAGCGAAAATCCAGCGGCACTCTCTGTCTATGCCTTTACGCGTTGATGTCTTTGCCTTTACATGTTGTCATATTTCGTTTGGTTCTATATATTTTTGATTGATGTAACAGTTACAGAGATTCTTTTCAGGAACTTCCCACAGTTATATTACACCTTGTCATTCGCAGTACCTGGTAGTGGAGCTACAGTAGATATAATCATGATTGATACTGTTACATTGTGTGGTAATGTTGACGATGATTTCCATAATTACCAACCAACAGGACCAGCCAATGTAAAAGTAGCAGAAGATCAATGGGAATGGATTGAAAATAGTCTTTCCAAAAGCAGGTTCGTCTTATCTTTTAGAGATAGGTTAAGCTATCTTTTAAAAAGTATTTCATTGGCAATGCTGGAAAGTATATGACAGGTCTGCAACAGGGTGGTGCGTGAAGTGGATGCATCAGAAATACCTTTTGGTCAAATTAGAGATATTATAGGGAGTTATAGATCGTTCAGTCCATGAAATAAATTGCGTTTGATACACTGTTTTGATATTAGGCTATAGTATTCCTTATGTATATGTAGATACTATCTTTTCTCCAGTAGATACCGTTTAATCAACCCATTTTATTATTTCGTGCTAAACTATACGTACGTCTGCTGGATCCCCTCGTATCCCTTTGTATCCCTTGGCCATTTCAGAGTGGACCTTAGCAAACAAGGTCAAACGCCTGTCAACAATACTGGAAATGCCCCTGTTGATATCCATCTATGAATACCCTTTGAAAACTATATATTTCAGTGCTGCTTTAACGTTGAACTATTTTGTTATAATATTTCAGTGCTACTTATCTTCTGGTAGCAGGTCATTTTCCAGTTTATTCTATAGCAGAACATGGCCCAACACAATGTTTAGTTGATAGATTATTACCAATGTTATATCAATATAAAGTTACAGCTTATATGTGTGGTCATGATCATAATTTACAGGTAAGTGAAATTCGCGCTCTTCTGAGACAACAGTCCCACCCTGAATTAATTTAACTACGACCATACTATGGGATAACATAATTATGAACATTAACTAACTTTTCACATATGACATCAGATTCTATGTTAGGACCAAATCATCATAATGTGTATTGATGCGTGATCGTAGTGTTATTCTTCAGACAACATTCAGCCATTTGTGACAGCATAGGCTATATCGGAAGTAAATGTCATGAAACATTTTACCACTTCTGAAGACGTTACTGGTTGTATTAATAACCTAACTATATTAAAAGTATCGCCAGACCTTACATGTAGCCTATTACAATCAACACTTTGGTAAATTCAATAATTAAAGCTTATCGAACTCGTTTTGATCCTTTTTTTATTTCCAGCATTTGCAAACCACACAGGATGGAGTTTTACTTAATTTCATTTTATCTGGTGCAGCCAATTTTATTGACCCGTCTGTAGAACATAGAAAAAGTGTTCCAGAAGGGTCTTCTGTCTTCCATTGGTCCGATTTATTTGCACTTGGTGGGTTCGTATTCACAGAAGTTACATCATCCAACATGACATTTACCTATTTAGATGCCAGTGGTAAACAGTTACACGACGTTACCATTCCTCCTAGGAAGTAAGGAATGGCACGTAAACTTGATTAATTTGTGCAATAACTTTCATCAATATGTCTTTCAAGTTCTATTGTTGGTGGTATTTATTGAGCAGTTTCTGTGATAGAATTAATTTAAGATATTGATCATAGTAAATAAATTTGGTGTTTTGTCAAGGTTGTTAAACAACGTAAAAGTGGCGTAGTCAGGATTGCATCTGAAAAAAGCACCTCAGAATCCCTTTATGTTTATAGGGTACTAGTCGTGGTAGGGGGTCAGAAAGGGTAAAAGGTGGGGCATCCGAGCACCTCCGCTTTCCGTTTGGATTTTAGAGGGTACTAGTCAGGTGGGGTCAGGGGGCATTCTCTGTAAAATTGTCTAATCTAGGAAGGCAGGCGGTGAAAGTAGAATAAATTTTTCAGTCTCGATTGGGAGGGGAGGGGGGACATGGTGCCACTGCATCGTAATATTATTAGAGATTTTCTAGGAGCACAGTTGCAATTGTTAATATTTTTAAGATGTAATTAATTTACGGTTTCTATTATTGAATCAATGTAAATGAATCTGATGTTCTGTTAAGGTTGTTATCATTTTCTGCAGAACATTCTCAAATTATTTCAACCTATTTGTAAGGAGTACAGTTGTCGTTATAAGTGGACATTTTCAGTAATTAATTTTAAGTCTATTTAATGATAATCATGTATTGAGTTCTGAAATCGTCAGATGTTGTTGAACAGAGCACATCTACGAAGTATCAGTAATGAAATGAAGTTTCAACCATTATAATTGAATCAATTTAAACGAATGAATTATGATGTTTTTACTCTTTTTATTTAACATATGAAAGGTCTAGAAATACCAACGGGGGTATATTATGCAGATTAAAGAAGAGCACGGTTTTAAAATAGAGATTTATTAAAGTTTTAGATTTGGATTATTGTTATAGTTGTTATTTATCAAAAATGTTATGTAATTGAATTATAAAGAGAGTTTTATTTCATTGATAATTATGAGACATGAATGAATATAATACAACATGAATAAGACATGTTAATATGTGTCTGGAGTATTAATACTCCTTTTCTGCTTGATGTTTTCATTTCCATTAAATCCCTTACATAAAATTCTAATTAGCTACAACTTGTATGTCTGATATATTCTTGTCAAGTAGACATTCAGTCAAGCCATAAGCATAAACGATGCGTAGTGCGTATATACAGATCATAATGTTCTCACCACGCTGGTATGATAGAATGCATGCGTATAGGTGGAGAAGGAGGGTGGGGGCATGTGTTTGGAGACAGGGACAGATTCGTTCCTTTGACCAATCGTACTTTAAGTCTCAGAAACAATAATGTTTTAGCTCAGCTAATCAATTATAGTGTTCACAGCTCACTGTCGAAATTTGAGCTTTCAAACCCTTGTGTGTCCCGAATTATCCGCGACTTGTCTTTTTTTGAGACTGTCATCGAAGACATAATATATAGAAGTAGAAAACGAAATTCTTAGTTTGAGATATATTGAGGGAACTATACTATGACGAATCTGTCACAACCGTCAGCATTGTGATTTATCCCTTGTGGAAAATGAATGCCATTTCCACATGATATGCCTCAATTACATAACATTCTAACAAATCATCAAAAGATTATCTTTTCCTCCATCTCTATTTAAATATTCGGCTGCCATTCATGTAAATTTGATCCTCTTACATGTTATTTGGCACAATTTTTATACACTAGAATCCTGGGATAAATAAGTAACTGTATTACAATATATTTCATGTATTAAGTAGTCTGTCTTGCTACCATGATTTTTTTACAGTCAGACTCTTATTTATCTATATGTAAATATCATAATGTGGAATTTGAAGCTAAAACAGTCACGGTGCACTGATCAACTCGAGTGACAATATTTTTACGTGCCTAAACTACACACACCGGTGATTAAAATTAAATTAGGTTACCGTTACAATAGATAGCAGGTCAATGCGTTTATCAACAATATGTCAGGTGATATTCATGTTATTAAAATTATAATTTAAATAGGTTACATTTGATTAATAAAAACATAATTAATATCTGATAATTCATTATCAGTTGGATATGGTACAAAAGTAAGATCGAAATATGATGTATTCACCTTTCAATTTTGGGTTATTATTTTTTATTGCAGGTAGGTTGTCTTTTACATTCAAATTATATCATATAATGTTAAAGATTTGCTATTTTTGACTGAGTTAAAGGGGTATGTATTACAGTCCAAAGGTCGACAGAGTGACATCTCGTGAATCCGGATGTTCTGCTACGCCTTCGTAAATTGTAATGAATAAACATGACGTATTCTGGAACGTAACCAGAGGTCATGATGACACATCATTCAATTCATAATCCGCTAATATTATAATAGAGTTCAGTCGGTTGACGTTTGGATGTACAGGCATGTACATTTCTATTCTGATTTATTTCCCTTTTCACTCCAATGGTTGGATACCGTTTGGGTGTCTTAGCAGTCCATGGCATATCAATACCCAAATAAACTTGATGGAACTGATTTGTTAGGATGCGGGAAACTAGGCATGGAAAATTATGACATTTGATATCATTGAGGCAGGAATAATCAGATTGATATTTGGTCACACACTTAATTTGGTTATTCTCTTTTATTCAGGATGCTCAGCTTCCAATTCATTAAGATTTTTGGTGGTTGGGGATTGGGGAGGTCTTCCATTCTTCCCATACACAACACCAGCTGAAGTTGGCACGGCCTACCAGATGGGACAACACGCCCAGAAATCTAAACCAGACTTCATCCTTGGTCTTGGTGATAACTTCTATTTTCATGGTGTTCAAGATGTGAATGATCCACGATTTAAGGTACGCCCCTTTTAAGATTGCCCTTCAATAACAGCAGTACGACTCGTTGGTAAACAACTTTCCGTTGTATTGGTATAAAGACGCTCTCCCTGGTGCAAGTTTCTTCGCCTTAAACCGGATTACCCCTTTACAGCAGAACTTGTTGATTGATGATACAAAAGTGCTTCAGAATCTTCTTAGGTGAAAGGGACTTGTTAACTTCAAGCTGCTCAGGGGTACCGGAAAAGGGTCGTAAAACATTTGTTACTGTCCGGAAAATTATTCATGGAATATTGATTATTTTCACTGTGCTAGAAGGGATACCAGCTGTCCCTAAACGTCAAAAGAGGTACGAATAGTCAGAAGGGTTAGGAACTAAGGCCCAAAGACAAATTCCTAAAATAGCAAAATTACCCTATATTCATATTAAAGGACATGTACTCAATACAGAAAGTTCATCTAGTACATAAGCTGTATTTTACTCTCTATTTTATTAATACAAATGGCATATTTTGAATGGAGTTGAGTTTACTCCAAGGACTTTTTCAACATTCATTAATCAAATTAGCTTAATGGATTTTATCCTCCATTTCATAAGCCCATTGGTTTTTATTCTTAAACTAATGCGATAATTTGATCAATCATTATTTGAAGCCTTAATTAATTCTTCTAGATTAATGGAATATTGCTGACATTTTGATGAAACGTTGAAGATTTCTGATAGGTACTACAGGATAAGACCAACAAGTCAATAATTATTCACTAATTATATACAGGATAGTATATATCATAGGGTCTTAAAAAGCAGATATCCAATCTCTTATTATGTATATAGTATATAGGGTCTTAAAAAGCAGATATCCAATCTCTTATTATATATATAGTATATAGGGTCTTAAAAAGCAGATATCCAATCTCTTATTATGTACAGTATATAGAGTTCTAAAACAAGCAGGTATCCAATCTCTTATTATATACAGTATATAGAGTTCTAAAACAAGCAGGCATCCAATCTCTTATTATATACAGTATATAGAGTTCTAAAACAAGCAGGTATCCAATCTCTTATTATATACAGTATGTAGAGTTCTAAAACAACCAGGTTTCCAATCTCTTATTAAATACAGTATATAGAGTTCTAAAACAAGCATGTATCCAATCTCTTATTATATACAGTATATAGAGTATTAAAACAATCAGGTATCCAATCTCTTATTAAATATAAGATATAGGGTCATAAACCAAGCTGGTATCCAATCTCTTATCATATATAGGATATAGGGTCTTAAAACAATCAGGTATCCAATCTCTTATTATATATATGGTATATAGGGTCTTAAAACAAGCATGTATCCAATCTCTTATTTAATATAGGATATAGAGTCCTAAAACAATCAGGTATCCAATCTCTTATTAAATATAGGATATATGGTCTTAAAACAATCAGGTATCCAATCTCTTATTAAATATAGGATATAGGGTCTTAAAACAATCAGGTATCCAATCTCTTATTAAATATAGGATATATGGTCTTAAAACAATCAGGTATCCAATCTCTTATCAAATATAGGATATAGGGTCTTAAAACAATCAGGTATCCAATCTCTTATTATATATATAGTATATAGGGTCTTAAAACAAGCATGTATCCAATCTCTTATTTAATATAGGATATAGAGTCCTAAAACAATCAGGTATCCAATCTCTTATTAAATATAGGATATAGGGTCTTAAAACAATCAGGTATCCAATCTCTTATTATATATATGGTATATAGGGTCTTAAAACAATCAGGTATCCAATCTCTTATTATATACAGTATATAGGGTCTTAAAACAATCAGGTATCCAATCTCTTATTAAATATAGGATATAGAGTCTTAAAACAATCAGGTATCCAATCTCTTATTATATATATCGTATATAGGGTCTTAAAACAATCAGGTATCCAATCTCTTATTATATATATGGTATATAGGGTCTTAAAACAATCAGGTATCCAATCTCTTATTATATACAGTATATAGGGTCTTAAAACAATCAGGTATCCAATCTCTTATTAAATATAGGATATAGGGTCTTAAAACAATCAGGTATCCAATCTCTTATTATATATATCGTATATAGGGTCTTAAAACAAGCATGTATCCAATCTCTTATTATATATATCGTATATAGGGTCTTAAAACAATCAGGTATCCAATCTCTTATTATATATATCGTATATAGGGTCTTAAAACAAGCATGTATCCAATCTCTTATTATATATATGGTATATAGGGTCTTAAAACAATCAGGTATCCAATCTCTTATTAAATTCATTAACTACAATAAAGGTAAACATAAACAAACCTTCAGAAAGTTGAACCAATTCCCTCTGATTATAGACAAGAGTAGAAAATTGATAAGGGAAGCTGAAACGAGATTTTTTTGGCAAAGCAAAGTTTCATTAGCATACCTTTAGAAAGGAGTTTATTACCTTAGGCAGTTGACAGCTAGACACAACACGTATTTTTTAGAATATGTAATTGAGAATATTAGAATGTGGATAACGTGACCTTCAGACTTTAATACATTCATATTCTTGTTCTTATTTTTTATTAACATATTCAATTAATTGTCTAGCTTTCGAATGCCTAAGCCTTTAAACGATTTGCAGTCATTGACATTTTTGGAGGCATTTAGCGAGTTGGGTTGAATTTCAATGAAGGCTATCGAGCACAAATTTCAAACAAAATTATGCGACAAAACACGAGAAGTCTTAAAAACGAAAGAGACTTCTCTTGTTGATGTCGGAAAAGTTCCTGAATGTTCTAAAACATCCTCGTTAAACTATAAAAAAAATTTTTGTAGGAGAGCTTTGAAAATATATACCAAGATAAATCTCTACACGTACCGTGGTATCTTATAGCTGGTAATCACGACCATTATGGTAATGTCTCCGCTGAAATTATCTACTCTCAATATTCACAGAGATGGTAAGAACTTTACAGTTATAGGAAACTTTACTTGCAAATTGTCTTGATGCAAAACATCTAAAATTGCAACTTAACAAGCCCAGTCACGTCGAGTGTACCTGAGATTGATCTCTTAAGCAATACTCGATAAAACAAAATAACAGTTTTAATGATTGTCCCCGTCTATTAAATAGAAGAAAAGACTGAAATGATATCAAATCACCACTTATTTTATTGCTAACGTATGTTTATGTAGGACTGTGCATAGGCTACCCTTTCAAACAGGATTTCACTGCCTACTAAAGCACTTGTCTTAACGGTACCCCGTTAGAATAACCCACGATGTTGATATGTGGGGTATACTAGAAACAAAATATAGACTAAATTGTTGAAGGCCGGTTTGATTTTTATCCAATGCTGCGTTCAAGGTCAAACTTTATAAAATTTAATTCCAGGAATTTTCCCGACTTCTATTATCCTCTATCATTTAAAATTCCTGGAAGTAATGCCAGTGTTGATATATTGATGTTGGACACCGTTCAGTTGTGTGGCAATACAGAACCAGATTATGAACACTCACAACCAAAACAACCAGATAATCTTCAAGCTTCAGAACAGCAATGGAAGTGGTTAGAACAGGCTTTACAGAAGAGCAAGTAGGTAGCTATTAATATAGGTTCAGTCTTTAAAATACTTTTTCTCATTAGAGTTTTTCATATGACTTTGGAGGTAAAAACAGTATAATATTATGTATGATTAGGTTATTCATTTAAACACAGAATACGAACATATATATGTTTAGTTTAAAGGTCGTCATAGATTGGTCGATTTGCATAAATGTGGGTTTCTTCTCCTGAACAACACTGGCATTGCTTTCATTCATTCATTCGTCATCATCTCAATACAACTTACAATTTTGATATTTTATGTTTTAGTGATCTACACTTACGCCCCCGCTTTTATTTATTCCTATGTGCTATATTTCAGTGCTACATATCTGCTGGTAGCTGGTCATTTTCCAGTATATTCTATAGCAGAACATGGTCCAACACAATGTTTAGTTGATAGATTATTACCAATGTTATATCAATATAAAGTTACAGCTTATATGTGTGGTCATGATCATAATTTACAGGTAGGTCTATCTAACTTTTAATCCTAATTAATGATGGAGGAACTGATAGATAATTATTGTACTACCAGAGGTTTGCTAGATTGGCCTCAGGACAATATAGACAAAAAGTTTGTTGTAAACAAGATGTTATTCTACTGATAGAAGTTATATTATAACCTTGATCCCTTTATTTGAAATTGACAATAAAAGAAGATCTATGATAAGGCAATGTTAAATATTTGCAAATCCATATTAATCCAACTAATCGTATGCCCGTTTCTGGTTTCCCATTCTCGTAATTTTATTCATGAATTAATAGTACATTATGCCGAATGGTGTCGACAGATAATTTTATATACTATTATTTTTATTTTAATAAATGCTCTCAGTTAATGATGCAGAACTCAATATGTCTGCTATTTGGTTTGATATTTAATAGTCCAACAGCAGCTAGCTGATCTAAAGACCAGACACCTGTAGGGCTTATTTGATGGTGTATTGGGTGTTTGGCGCGGTCCATGGACTAGATATTTTGCTGTATTAGTTGATGGGCTATCGGGTGTATGATTCCTATTAGCTATGATATCGGATCACAATATCACGATTAATTTTATTTTATCACATTGTCTACTTCCTCAATTTTAATCAGCGTAATGAACGCAGTACTTTTATCACTGTTTCATCTGAATACAGCAGCGAAAGTCTGATGGAAACATCAGATAGTGAGAGTCTAAGCTATTTCCTTTATAAGAAATTTTTAATTTATATAATTAACTAGCAAGGTTTATGAAGGGTAGTCGGTTAATGAAATGAGACTGCACAAACAGGGGGAGGTGGTCAAATATGTCTTCAAACGTGCATTACTGGGATATTGTATTTGGAACTATGAAGTTGCAGACAGCAGAGCTTCATAGACAGTCGCCAGTTAGAGGGGGGTCTCTAAAACAATTTTAATTCCGAATCCAATACACCATTAGGACATGTTGAGTTATCTGGATATCTTCATTTTTTCACTTAACTTCGTAAGAAGTATGTTATTTGAAGATAAGTTAAAGTTTGTACTCTTTTAACTATTTTCAGCATTTAAAAGAAACGAAGAACAATAGAACTGTGAATTTCTTCCTCTCTGGGGCTGGTAACTTTATAGAAAATAATAAATCCCATGCTTCTGATGTACCTGCTGGTGTGTCCAAGTTCTTCTGGGCAGACGTTATATCTTTTGGAGGATTTGGATATGTGGATATATCGCAAAGTAATATGACCTATTCCTTTATAGAAGGCAACGGTAAACTCTTATATAATACAACTGTTTCACCGCGAAAATTGTGATAGATCAGTGCTATTTTATTCTTCCGATGAATTAATCGAAAATTAGATTTCTTCTCATTGTTGAATTTTTTTTAAAGTAAATAAATTATTTCTTGTTACGAATCTACTGTCCTTTTTTTCTGACCGTGATGGATTTACCCTCAGTCTAAAATCAATATAGCTTTAGATTGTCTTTTACAAATTTTATTCAGTAGGTACCAATAGTACCAATTCCCTATACCCCATACTATTTATACTGAATAATTATAATAAATACATGTATTAACAAAACATTCGATGATCAAAAATACATTTGTTTAGCATATATAGTTATTTTAATTATGATATACTCTCCGCACACAAAAGCAAATATATTGATGCAGGTAGAGGGCCTGGCATGGAAAAAGCGTCTAATCGTTAGGATGGGACAATAAACCGAGGCCTACAGGTTGCCCATGTTTAAGACAGTTGGAAATGGGAAAAGAGCAAGGTAATGCCGTTGTCCTGGCAAGATTTCCCTCGTGGCGTTGCCCGTCTTTAGAAAAACATAAAACTCCACTCATTTCATTTCATTTCAAAATGAAAGTCTAGTGAGTTTCTTTAAGGCTTCTGTCATATTGTTCATACGCTTGTCTGTCGTAGTCAATAATGTATACTAATGAGGAAAAGATTATATATATTCAATATTTTAATCTAATCTAATCTGTGAATTCAAATATAACAAACCTAATCCAGATCTTCCCAATCGACTGACAATGATTAACAGACAAATAATTTATCATTTTAATTTTCAAATTAGGTTAAAAGTTTTACGTTTACACATTGCGGGCATAGTTATGTGTTTCGTACAATTTATGACCATCAGCACGAATAAAGGTAAAAGTTGCTTTCTGCGAATTGATTTCAGCCAAAGCAAATCCACCACGATGATGAGTGTCACCATATTGAAATAATGACGATCCACGTGGTACATAATGACGATGTTTTGTACTTGGATTAACAAATCTGCCTGATCCAGATCCAATATAATCTATCACATGACCATTTAATTCTGTTCTAAGATGCTGAAAGATGTAAAAAAAAAAAAATGAATCCTGGTTTTTGAATGTACGAATATATTCGGATGAACGTCGGCTTGGGTTCGGTAGGACTGTGTCAAGTTATTATTGCCTGTAATTCCAAAAAGAACTGGAAGTAAGGAAATGGAGTATATCATCATGTACCAAGTGATTTGTTCATCGAGCAAAAAAAACGCAATTGTTTTACACAAAACAGTAGTTGTTGCTGCTGAATTTTCTCCTCGGTCTGTGCTTTCGGAATTTCAATTATATTGTTTTTACACTACCTACACAAAAATAACATATAAATGAAAGCTATTCACAAGGTTTAAATAAAGTAACGGGATTCCGACTTTCTTTTCCAATCTTTATTTAAAGCTGCGTGATTAAGGAATTATATAAACAACTTCGGCGTCTAGTTTCCTTGAAGTCTAATATTCCAAAGCGCAGATATATACAAAGCCATTTGTCATTCAAGACCAAGTCATTGTATTTCTCGATTTACAGCCGCTTGAAGCCAACAGAATGTAATATAATGACCATGTCTGATAATTATAGAGCATGAGGCGAAGGTTGTTGCCGAGATTTCGGATTCAATTACAGATTATCAAGTTGTTTGAAGTTACTCTTCGATCACTTAGATTAAAGCCAAACGAAATGTGACATTCTGCCTTTCAATTATCATGTTTTATAAAGAAGGGCAGTTGAGGGCGTTGCAAGCTTATCCAGTTATATAGTTCTAAAACACCCATTATAAAACTCGGGTAAAAGAAATAATAAAATTTAGTGTTATTAATGCATGATAGCTTTAACCCCAATTTCTTTTAGGACTTTAAAGGTCTAACGAAATCTTCGAATTTATTAATGTTAAAGGGATTGTGAAGAGGTCTTGTAAATCATTAATTTGCACCATTCCAATTTTCAGTCAAACGTTTGTGGCTCTTGAAATTCCACTATAAGTAAACGTTTTATGACGCCACTATCGCAAAGCTGCTGTTGATTTGTGAGTATCTGATGCTATCAGTGTCTCAAATACACACAAAAAAAACTCTTTACAATCCCTTTAAATTCTGTTTTTTTTTTGACTAGACAGGAAATACTGGCAATTTTACCTGTAGATCGTGATCATGTCCGTTGAAATAACCATTGACTTTGTATTTGTACATCATTGGCAGTAACCGACTTACTAAACATTTAGAAGGCCCATGTTCTGCTATTGAGTAAATAGGAAAATGTCCAGCGACAAACAGATATTTAGCTCTGAAACAAAGTCATCCGTATAAATAAAATCGACTAAAATGAGCTTTACTAAGTACAAAGAAGTTGATAGCATCATGCAATGTGCAGTAAGAGAAATTGTGCTAGTCTAGGGAATTATTTTACTCCATTTCTTATTGAAATCTGTAAATTGTACAAACATTTTTATTGTCTATCAGTATGATTATATTTCTATGCATAAAGGGATCATAGCCCAAGCGATTCTATTTATCAGAAAAGCAAAACCAAAGCATGGAATGCAACAACGTCAAAGACAATGTGTAGTATACAATGTGGATAGATACGATGCGTAACAGTTTCAAATCATAACCGACGTGGACAGAACGTCTTGCTATCGATTTCCTACAACACGTGTGGCGTCTTATTCATACCGATGTTACCCAAGTGTTATCTATGTACAACATAGTGAACTGAAAAAGGAGTTACCCCTCAAGTTACTAAATACAAATCAAGGCGTGTTATCCCACTGTTACCCTTGTTTCGATAAAATCGTAAAGCGCGAATGAAATGCTATGAGTTCTTGTGTGAGTTCTTACTTGGAATTCGCTAGATGGCTTTCTATCCAACTCCAATGATTCTCGGCAAAGTCATAATCATTTGGTTCTTCCGGTTCTGTGTCATGAAAATCATCCATCACATGACCACAAAGAATCTCAGAATCTGTCATAATAATGTCGAAGGTATCTTGGGTTCCAGGAATGGTAAATGTAAGAGGATAGTAATAATATGGATACTTCCTGGTATGAAAAAAGATAATAACATTAAAGTGGTAAACATTTGATACTTTAGGGCACACCAAGGACCCAAAGGCATGTACTACATGCTATGCACATTTTATATTTGGTAGAAAAAAGACAAAAAACGAGTATTGCAGCTGTTCTGACTAACTCTTCCTATTTCCACAGTACATACTATATGGGGTTCAGCAGTAGAAGACCAGTAGTCATTAAAGCCCGAGTAAAAAACTAATTATCTTACCATCTAGTAGATTTCTTAGTGTAAGCAATCTGGGCTGAAACATTACCACGCCAATCATGATTACCAGCTATTACATACCAAGGAACAAACAATGAAGAATCGGTATATACATGTTCAAAGGTGTCCTACAAATGTAATAATTTGATTAAACACTCGAAGGATATGTGGCTTATTTATAAATATTTGAACCAAACGCAATATTACGAGCACAGCTGCAACAATAATTGTTCTGTGCTCAGATGTGCTTTAAATGGATGCTTGTGTACATTGTCAAAAAAGAATTTAGAGAAATTATATAGGCTGCATATAACTGCATATGTTGTAAGTGAATCCGGTCTGTGCAAATAGCGACCAAAACGTGTTTTTTTCCACAAAGGTTGGGCACCGGTAAGGTTTAACTGAAAACGTTAAAGTCTATAATATCTAACGTTTTCCACTTTGTAGCAATAAAAATGTCTAAAAAAGTAACTTTAGCTTGGGGAGTAATATAACTCTGACATGAGCGAGCTCAGTTGTCATCTAATAGGCTAAGTAACAGGTGACGAAAATTTGAATCCATTCAAGTTAACATAATTGTTGGTTCCACTACCAGTGCTTTTGGAGACTTACCCTGTGTCAATATCAACTCCCTCCACCTACCTTAAATCTATGATCTTCAACATTTTTAACGCCATTATAATAAAAATTGTCCCCAAGAGCTAATATAAACTTTGGTTTCTCTGACCGAGCTGTTTCCTTCATCTGGTGAGCCACAGCCAATTGGTTATGTACTGTGTAAGGGTGATGGTCCGTTCCACCCCAGTCTCCAAGAATTAGGAACCTCAAGGTTTTGTCAGTGGTATCCTGGAAGTCATGTGAATCCTGATGAGGCGTATCTTGTTTTACATCTGACCGATCCTTAGGTAAAAGTGGATTTGTATTGATGTCATTGGCTGCAACGGAAAATTGACAGTAGTTTTGAGGCATTTTGAACTTACATGGTGCAGTGTCAGCTGATGAGTGATGAAAACATTTTGTGATACGAAACTTGAAGTCACTAAACGTTTTACGCGAAAAAAAATTTCTAAAGATTTGCTTTGAACCATTGGCTGTTTTTTTTCTTGAATATTCAAGTGATCAATGCTAAAGAAAAATGTCTTACCAGAAACTGATATTACCAACAAGGGCAAAACCAATAGAAACCTCATCTTGTCAGAGGAAATCAGCTGCGGTTCCTTCTTGTATGCGCCTTATTTTGCAAATGAAGACTGAATTCTATGAATTCAAGGCATCCTTTTATAGTACAGTATTGTGTACGTGTTTATCAAATGATACGAGTATCCAGACATTCAATAACGGGTTTAAAGATCATAAATCTTTTTAAAAAATATGCAAAGATAATCATTTGTGCTGCAGACAAGTGTTCGTTAAGTGATAACTTGATAACGATAATAATTCTGAAGGGTAATGTACGATGACCGTTCCTTTACCCCAATTGCATAGGTCATTACTACAATAGTGCTCTTAAAGATGGATTCCCTTCTCGTCGAGAAGTCGAGGGTAATATGGTCACAGCAGGCTTCCATAATTTGATGCATTATGACTTAGTTGTTTATGGATTTATTGTATTATAGAGAGATTTTGTTGTATAGTTATGGCAACAGGTTAATTCCACTGATGAACAAATTGCAATTTCTGGTCATCCTAAGAAATATACTGGGTAGGATTCGGTGTGGGATCTTAGATACAGCAACAACAGAATACAATTTGTAAAACTAAAGGATGTATTACCTGTGTTCAAATTGACGAGAATTTCCGGCGTATAAACAAAGTAAGCGCAAACTCACTGAATAGGAGAGTGAAGGGGGCTGGCAAATTCACAGTTTATTGCATTCATTGTATTCGATATCACCAGGATTGTCTGAATAGTTTTAAGCATCTAAACAAAGTAAACTCATTTAATAAGAACTGCAACATTACTGTAGTGTTATTATTGTCTTTGAACCAGATCATCTTGTGAACTGATCAGAAACGTGGAATCTTCAGATTTATGTCCGGATAGCCGGATTTAGTCCCTTTGATTTCCACCTGTTTTCTAAAGATGATTTTCGCTGTGAATGACTTTTTAGAGTGGCTGCGGACAATCTTTTCTTGACCTGCATCCATTCTTGCAGCAACACTGGCGAAAGTGTGTAAACCCGGAAGGAGTAATGTAGCGAACTGATTGAAAACCATCGACCAAGGGCCTTATCTTTGAAAACCTAACCTAAAAATGATTTTAGTGTTCCAGTCATCTGATTGGTCAATCACTGAAATTGATTTTAATTTTAGTTTTTTAATGCAATCAGATTACTGTATTTTTTTTTTTAATATTTGGATTTTATTTGGGTTACGTTTTGCAGAATAAAGTCACTGTTATGAGTCTTTTAAAGTTAGGCTTAGAACTTTTCAGTCAGCCCTCGTACCAGATCGAATTTGCGATACAGTGTGCGACATTAACAATTGATGGCAAATGGTGAAAAATGCAATATGCCAGTCGTCAATGTTTCTGCTCAACTACATCAATCGATTAATCCTCAGTTGTTGACACTCCTGTTGCTCACTGATTCTACCAAAAGCGTTTACGACCCGAGCTACCTTTATCTGAAAATCATTCCTATTTTCATTCATTCTGAGAAAGGGAAACATGTAAATATCGTTAGAAATGACAATTTGATATGATTAAGAACGCAGGCTACAATATAGCTAAATAACAACAAAAACAGCTTGTCGTATTTCATAAAGTCTTCTACATTGCATCACACACGGCTGCTGTCAGGAATGGGATATTTTCAAATTTTTGGTTGAAAAGTCACTGGGTCAGAGTAATATCATGTGTTGCAATCTGCTCGAGAAATAACCCAAAAACTACCTTAATATAATTTAAGTTCGTCTGATATCGGCGCCATCAAAAGAGAAAAGAAATCATAAAAAGTAATTCGTCGGAAAGGTTTAATTTTCCGGCTGTTTGGAGAGAAGAATTTTTCCAACGATAATCTTTAAAAATCATGATAAAACTATTAAAGGCAATATCTTAAGGATTTCTACAAGGAAAAATAATCATTTTGAATTTCATCTTTAGTGGGATCTTAATTTTTTTTTGCTGAGATGAATTGTATTGGTCAACAAATGTTTGTGTACCACTTTGTTGATGTTTCATTATGTTGGTTATTAAACCGTTATATAACCGTCTTCTACAATCCAGCAGTCACGATCATATTTACATCTTAAACGGGTTAAGTTAAGTCTTATATCTCGATTTGTATGTGGCCAGCATCACACGTTTAGATTCGAGCCCTTATTGATTGACAATATTATTGTCAGTGAAACAGTTCTACAATGGCGCAGGAACTCCAACTTTCTGGTGTACAGAGGGCGGTTGGAGTAAGTTCTTAACGTTGAAATTTCAGCCTTCCCTTCCTCGTGTATCGACAATTATCCGTGTTTGAACGACTTATCTTTTAAAGAGCCACTATTTCGAAAAACCATTAAAGACTTGATAAATTAACAAGACGTACAACAAGATACCCTAATTTTCAGGATTGAGATTGTGAACGAAATAAATAAAAGTATATTTGAAAAAGAATTTGTAATTTTCGTACAGTTCTAGTTATTCTGAAGACTACCTACGTAAATACAAGACCCAAATCCACCCCCGAAAAGGTGAACCATGGACTTAAATGTCAAAGGTCGCGAAAATATTAGGCGATAGTCCAATTGGAGGATATAAACAAGTTTTTTATTGATAAACAAATTTATATTTGAAGTAAAATTCACTTCAAACAGCTTTGGTCATTTAAGCAAAGCAATTAATACCCTTTTTGTGTAGGATATTAGGGCCAATGTCTTAATATTGTTCATTTAACTGTGAATAATGGGTATGATTTTACTTACCAATAATCGATGTCAATAAATTAGCAGTAACTCTAGAAATCAATGGTGAAAAGTCATGATTTATTTTTTCCATTAATATCAATTTAATAAGATTATAATCGATGCATGACCATATTAGGCTCATAATATATGTGATTTACTCTGTGACAGTTTATCTTGATTATGTCTCAGTTTTAAATTCTTAGTGATATCATGGCCTTTCTTAAACTAACAGTTACTGTCTTTTGGGTAGTTTGTGTTTCTAGAACAAATGGTAGGTTAATATTTTTTGTTTTTTTTTATCAAATCTTCTATTTCAGTTCGGAATAATGGGTAATTGTAATGGAAATTGGATTTTTTAGTGAAGTAATTTGATCAAGCTCATGTTTCTCACTGCCATTGTTTCTACGTTTAAGGATTCATGTTCGAATTTTATCGGTGAAGCGGACAAATAAAATAATTTATGAGGTTTTTTTTTTTAATGACAAAGTAAAGAAGATGATTTTTGTTTATTTTTATGTATCGCGGATGTTAAAACCCGGCTTTATTTTTACAATTTTCCATAAATGTCTGTTGCCGATGTAAATCAAGATTTATACACATAAAAATTAGACGTCTGTATTGCAAATATGGTGATATGGATATCGGAACAGCGCAAATAGAATGTCTCTGTATCCATTACGCATATAAATAGAGAATAAATCCTCTTTTGAATCTTAAAGTTAAATTTATTAAAATTATTTTGCATATTTTCGTTACAGCATAGATTGCGTGGTAAATCATTGTATATTGAAGACACTTTAAATACAATGAGTCTCTAGAGGAATTTACATTTAATTTTCTAAAAGATTAAGACGTAAATTCGAAAAAAGTAAAATTCTGATGTTCTATTATTGGTTTACCAATCACGTAGGAATTAAAAGAAGATAAGATAATTGATACTTTCTGCTGTTATGCCAATCAAACATTGTTTACTTGAACAGGAGATTCATCCTGATCCGCTTTCTCAAACAGTCTTCTGTGAAAGTTCTGCGTTTGCTCCGAACTGTAGTCAACAGATAGAAAGTGCCGAGAATTTCCGAATGCCACTTTCCGTTAATCCTCGGAAGTAGTTATTTAACGTTGGGTATGTATCCTTTTGTTTTCTGATTTTCGGATCCCCAGCTAGTTAGATATTCTCTGGTTAACCTTTAAGCGATCTCGACATACCCTCTATTTTCTTATCTGGTCGCCCTTTTTATTGATGCAGGGCAGAAAGACCTTGGTGAACAAAAAGGACAATTGAGCATGGCCGTGTGGGCGAAAGGCTGCAAATGTTAAAGATTCCTGTATCGACTTCATTATCCACAGAAATTGTATAATTTTTTACGTTTGAAAGTTAAAAATTCGACTCGAATTTTAGTGAGAGAATGCCATATATAGAAAACACATAGGAACAGACAGTGAAATTTCTAGTTTGAGGTATATTTGAAGGGATTATGCGCTTTCGTGCGTTTTAGTACTTCTTAAGACTATTAAAACACAATAAAGACCCAGATCAATCCCCAAAAATGCCAGCTGCCCCCCCCCCCCTTTTGGCTCTGCCACTGACCTGAAGGCTTCAATTATTTGACATTACAAACGTTAAATGATATTACTTTTCTCTTGTAACTATTTCTAAAAGGTTTTCTCGTTAGCTTGTCTTGCATTGATATATTGTGGCAAATTAAGTATAAAATAAACGATTCTGTCCAATTAGCCTACTTAAAGATAGACAAACCTTTCTCCACCTTTCGATAATACTGTACGTATGCACTAGCAGTCATCTGTGAACTATGACATTTTGATCAATATAAGTTGGACATTATTATATATGTACATTCAAACACACCGTTTTTTATGAACAAATCGATTATTGGAAATTCATTAAGAATATTGATACCATAGAAGAACTGATTTCATGTTTTAAAATCTACAAGATTTCTCTATTAATATTTCTAAAGGAAAATAATTACTATCAATCGAAAATGATCAAGATCTGTCTCAAAAAAAGGTTGTCATTTTTCTCAAATTGTTTATTGAAATTTGAGTGTGGTTTTATTGATCCACAGCCTCGGTCAGTGGGGATATCGGTTTGGTAGAAATATTCACAAAATACAATGTTCTCTTAATAACTGTCCACTGTGGGTTGAATTTTCAAGCATTGTGGACATTGATTTCAGTATTGACTTCTTCGGCAAAACTGTATATCATATGAAAGGTTGCAGATCAATGGTGTTAGAAAAATTGATCCAATGATAAAGGTAATGTATTTATGCCACCAAATGTCCAATTAACATTTAGTAAGTCGACTTTTGGTAAGCCTGCCTTAACCATTTGACAAACAGAATGTAACTTTTGATAAACCACTCAGATCTATATACTAATAAATCAATCAGTCAATAACAGTTGTTGGTTGAATTCAGTCTGAGAACTCGGACTTGACTCTAATAATCCAATAACGTTTATAACCGATAAATTGACTTGGTCTTATCTGATACGATTGTTTAAAAATTTATTAGACAAGATTGGATGCTTGTCGACGAATCGTAACAAAATACATATAATCTGGAAATGATATAGACATAGATACCTGATAAGAAAAAAATAACAGAGGTTTATAAAATACCGAAAGATAAAAGAAGCTTCACTTAACAGACACTGTCAGTTACATGGTCTGTGGTCAATAAACTCATTTAACATTCTACTGTTTCTTTTTGAAGCCAAGGCCATTTAACAGAGACCTTTTCGAATGTTAAGTATATCAGTTATCGGGAAAGAGAAGATTAATAATGAATTTCAATTTTATTTGCTAAATGTGCTACAAACTTAAATTGTTTTCCTCTGGAGATGTATAGTTATTAATTGGCATGTCTGTCCTGATAGCTCTGCCTACTGCATCTGAGTCCAAATGCCTATCATGCAGTTGCGTTAAGGGCGTGACTAACAATTAAAGGGATTGTAAAGAAGTTTTCATGGCTTCTTTTTGCATCATCTCATTTTTCCACAGCAAAAGCTGGCAAAAGGCCCCTTGCCTAATTTACTTAATCATAAAACACTTAAAGAATTAGTAGAATAGCTAAACCAGAATGTTACAATTCAGTGCCTCTGAAGCACATGGGAGTTGATAAAACCTCTTTTAGCCTTTTGGTATTTTACAACAAAAAAGACCACATTATTCAATTGCTTAATTTGTTTCATAAAATAGATATAAATTGGTTCATATATTACATTATATCATTGAATGTAGCATAATCACCAAATCAAAATTCTCAATATTTGATCGTTTGCATCTTTGTGAAGTTATGGCCTTTCTAACCACCAACTATTTTACTAGTTTCTTCATATTTTCAGGAAATTGTCCAAAGTTTGTTGGTAAAGACGGTCGGTCAAATCCAGTGACTTTCAATGAAATCTGTTATTATCCGTTTCCTGTAGATTATACCTACTCGGACGCCAAGTCTCTATGTGATTCTCAAGATACAAGATTACCCGTTCTTGATGAAGAGGTGAAACAGATAATACTTAATGGCCTGGCAGGTTCGTTGGTTCATTTATTCCCTAAAGGGGTAGTGATCGGGCGATGTGTCGATTCACTTAAACTCTATTATTTGATGCATTTTGATATTTGGGATGAATTAAAAATCTATACATGACGATGTTGAGTTGAGTCGTCCCTACAGACCTTTACTATGGAGGCAGATTGCGGAAGTGACAAGGTTCAATGGAACTGTTCGGTCTGGTTGGAAAACCGTTCCTTTTCAGGACCTAACGGTCTGGGCGGATTGTAATGCTTAATTATATGTATATGGATCACCTACAGCTGCTTCTACTAGATCAAGTCAAATCTCCTCATGTACACCGTCTGTAATCTGGGCCACATTTTAGATTCAATCCACATTGTGTCAACATAACCGAAGTCAACCGAATTCATTACATAACACTAGACGTTTTATGCTAATCCTTTCTCAATTTATGATTCCTTTCTTTATTTCTACATAATGTGCTATCAATCAATTTTTTTTTGCAGAAAGTTTTGATCGGTAATATCCCCTTTATCATTATGATATATTTTTCTTCTGCAGGCTTTATGGTCTCTAGTTATTGGACAAGCTTAGAATATATTGATAACATATGGTATTGGGTTGATGGTTCAAATAAATACCTGATGGCTAACCCAAGGTGGATCGATGACCCACCCTTAATTTCGACCTATGCGTATACTACAACCGATAGACACTGGGGAAGAATAAGTACGCCTATTACAAAACAGGTTATTTGTGAAGACGATCACACTCCACCAACAGGTATAATGTTAGCACGTTTTTACCACTGTCCATTACTGATGTACCGTTTAATACTTTTAGGTTCAATAAAAAGTCTAACATCCCGTACTATATCTTTGCATGTAACGATTGATCGATCAAATTTAGAAATTGATTTAGATATGGCAAGCTCTTATCATTGATCTCTGACTAATTTGCACACTGCGAACAGCATTCTCGCTAATATTGAGATACCGATTAGAAGCTTTTGAATGGGAATATAAATCGAGGCACTTTTAGTGATAATCCCAAACATCTACCTCTATTTCAGCCTCTGATAGATATATTTACATCGGCAGTCGACAAGTTTCAAAATAGCTATCAGAGGCTGGAATGTTTGAGATATTACGACAGTTGAAAATCATAAAAGCCGGGACTACTGTCTGATCATGACCGCTGTTTCGGTAAAAAACGGGTTACAATTCCAATATGTAGGATGTTATGCATCATGAATCTATTCCATTTGTTTTATTTTCCAGTTCAGGGTGTATTACCATTTCGGAAGTCAGGCTGTAATGCAATGAGTTATGCTCTCAATCTCAAAGAACTAAACCTCGTCAAAGCTCCGTCAGTTATTGGATGTGCAGCGATATGTATGGACACCATTTCGTGTGAATATTTGAAATATAATTTGCCTACTTCACAATGTCAGTTGTACACAGCCGGTGGAAACCTGAACATTTTTGATTGTTTTCTGTGTACATCATAAGATTATTAAAAAATCTTTAATATACAGTCGAGTAACCTAATTTCGTGGAAACCTATTATTCGTGGATTTCCGGAAATGATTAATAATTTACACGAGCGACCTTGCGCGACCTCCGCATTAGTTTGTTTTGATAAACATGGGTTTTCTCTACAATATTAGCTAGTAGAATGAATCCAGTAGTTTCAAGCAAGGTAAAATGTATTAATGTATACTTTGACAAATACAAAATGGCGGATTTCACTTATTACCAAACGTCACCATTTTTTATCTGCCGAATTTCCTTACAATCCCAAGCGGTAATTGGAATTCCAAGTGACGTATGCTAGAATATATTCCAACGAATGAAGTCACGTGATCAACTAGTGGATTCCGTGTCTGCAGAAAATTTCTATGGAACACAAAGTGGACCATATTCTTATGTTGTTTCAGTGACTTTTAGCAATAAATCACGCTACGTATCATATTTTGTCAGTCACTATTTTTTTTTTTAAATCGTGGTTCTTTGGAATTGTCACTAGTTATAATGAATTGATATTAAAGATAAATACTAAGAGAAGTTAATTATACCACCCGGTATCCATACAACGTGTTTTTCTAGACTTATTTATGGATCAAACATTGTACACGAAAATAGGTGACGCATTCTGCCGCCGTTGCCATGTTGGTTGCTCATGAAATATGGGTCAAAGTGAAGGATTCATAAAGAAAATCGAAATAAACCAATTTTAATTATTTTGTAGAATATCTGAGGAAACATCTAAGACATAAATTTTTTTTTTCGTTTTTTTTAACTTTGACGAAATTCGGTGTTGAATCCTTATATCCACGAAAATAGGTTACACCACTGTAATATATTTAATTTTTCAGCATATTCGATGCATTATCTAATTTCATATATCTTCCTTTTTGCCTTGGTTACTTTGAACGCATTTCACTATTCCGAAAACAAGACTATCATGTCTTTTAAAAGTGCATTGAAACGATTTGCATTAACCAGTTAAAGTGATATTTAATGCGATCAGCATTTTTTCAATATTAATTAAATCGTCATTACTAAATTTCGAAAAGTAAAATTGAGAAGTTGGATTGAAGTTTTATCTGAAAGTATTGTAGCCGGACAAACTTGGCTTCATCCGTTCCTGATACCAATGTGATATCGTCACGGTTAGGGCCAGACTCAAAAGGTTGCATATTATGGGAGTTAATCCAATCGCTAATTATTGAGAATCTTTAGCATGACCAATTTAGCAAAGCTTTTTGTATCTATACAAATCAATGAATCAATCAATGCATTTCAAGATTTTAGGCAATTGTCTTATAGATATATCACTTCCAAGGAATGTGTAAGGCCAGTTTTGTGGGGCCAGTATTGTAGATTTTCCTGGAATATATATTCATAGTATAGTGCAGCAAGACCAGCTCCATCATGTCTCTCACTTCCAATAAGTCTGAGACTTATCCCATACATGATGATATATTCAAATCAAAGGGATTTCCCTTGTGGCATCTATTTACGACAAGATTCCTTATGATTATTGCCGAAATAGCACGGTACGGATCTTGTAAATTTGATATATTTACTTGATTCATTACTTAGAAATGGGAGAGGCTTGCTGAATTCCCAGGGTGCTATCGGAATCGTACTCTATTCAATCATTGCGTCGAGAATAGATAACCATTTCCGACAGTTCAACTCCGACCTAATTTGATGGGCTCCGCTGGCTAAATGACTTAACCCGAAGGTTCAGGGTTCAATCCCTTTGAATTTCCGACCCGTTTCCCCCTGTCAGTGATGTGGTTTGGAAAGAGTCTAACGCAAAAAAGGTCACAATAAATATGACTACCATCATATGGAACGAAATTTGAAAGTGCCAGCCTCAATTCTCCATCTACCCCGCCCCTCTCCCTTGCCCTCCCGCAAAAAAGCCACCCAAGAAAAAGTAAAACCTCTTCCCATTTCGATATTGGGACATAAGGTCAGATAACATGTGATTTATGATGTACTTAAGTTTCACACCTGATTTAGCTCACGCTTCTCTTTTCGTAGGATACAGAGAATAGCAGAGTGATAAAATTTGATACTGTATATTTTTTCTTCTTATATTGATCAATTATAAATATCCAGCTTGGCATGTAATGCGGAAGTAATTCGTTTCCCAAGATATTGCATTTTAATAATTCTTTTGTTAAACTCTAATAATCTTTGTCTCTTGACTCTTATAGCCGCCTTTTATTACGTGATCACGTCTTTTTCTTATTCAAAGACACGTGCTTTTCTTTTTAATTTTCAGAAACTTATCGAAAGGAAATCCCAAATGGATTTATATGAATGGCACAAATGTGTATTTGCAAAAAAGTGATAATTCCAAGTACATTTAAACCAATGGTTAGAAATTTGATCTGAATTTACCCTACAATAACTTTTTCTCGAAAGTTATCTTTGCGTCCGTGATATCAGTTTACAATGAAAGGATGAATAATAAAAAACATGGGATTATCTTATGATAAGAAAGGCAGTGAATTAAAATCCAATGTTCGGACCTGTAGAAAATTCAGTCTAAAGCTATAAGTATTTGCACTAGTTATCAAGAACGTGAGAAAGTATATCGTTGTTATGTCTAGTTCAACACCACCAGAAATAAAACTCTTTTTTTTGCTTCCGATTTTACGACGTTCTATATATGGAAGTAAAATGACATCAAAGTAATGGAAATGTTTCTGACTCGGAGCACTAGAGAATTATGAAAAGATTATTATTACCAAATACTCGCTCAATTAAATTCGTGCATCATTTCAGTAGAAAAACGGCTGGAGGCTCACAGTGTTGTATTGTTGAATAGCAGGTATCCACTAATTCAATTTAAATAACTATAAATGTTTAATTTAAAGATAAGTGTAATTTCTAAGATATCAAGGGCAGAAGCAACGACTCTTTATAACCAATCTCTTGAAGAATGTGTCAGATGATTTTACCCGGATAACTCAACGCGACCTGTATCGGAAGCTTTTACAAGTATGATGATACAAGAATGAAATTTGTTTAAAATATTACACGAGGCACAATATTATTTGCTTCATACATTGTCGATATTGGTACCTTAACACCATGGGCGAGGGCAATCTCCCCTAAGAAATAAATGCAAATTTGACAAAATTATTGATTGCGGTTGCGTTTTGTGCGTATACAAATATAGTTTTCACGCAACTCATAGGTTTAAGCAAACGCTTTGTCTGAGGCCCCCATAACTCTTCATATGGCCATATACATGTTTATACTTAAAGGCCTTTAATGTCTGTTTCATAACGACTCAAACCTCTTAAAAGCTTAGATCAAAGCGAAATGTACATTAAGTAATGTAACGGTAAAGTAACGTTAATTAAAACATTTTTACCGTTGAGCTGTTGTTGCTCTTGTAATCTAATGACGTACATGTACTAATACAATGTAACCAAAATTAGGTGAATTGGTGCAGCAACCTTGATGGCAATCTTTCTCTCGATGCATACCGAATGACACTGCCAGCAGGACGTTACTGAACAGGGCCACCAACATTCATTTAGTTCAATCGTCCAAAATTTTGGTAATAGAGAGGTGATTTGGCTTTCGGTGTTATAGATGTAACATATAGAATTGAATATACGATGTACGACTTAAGACATTACTCTTGGTCCTGTTTTTCGAATTTGTCGAATACGTCATGGGTTTTGTTTAAGCCAAAGGGTTGAAGCACTTGCTGTGTGAGTGTAAAGGGACGAACAAAATATTTCGTCGTCTGCGTGCGCCGTACTGTGACGTATACCACCGAGTTTCTTTCAACTTAAACAAAACTTAGCCTTAACTTCTGGAGATTCCTCAAACAGACACTTCAATACCTTACTCTCTCGTTTGTTAAAATTATCATGTTATTCCCAGATGATATAATTAGTGATAAGTGCCATTTTAACACAATATCTGGGACCTGTATCTTAACTTAAACTGAGATAGTTTTAATGGGTCTAGTCTTTCTACCCATTTCAGGTTGAAAAGTAACAATAATTCATATCCCAAGATAGTCTATTTTTATTCATCTTTTAAACTGATCTTAAAATAATTTTTGTCTCTCGACTGTTATTCAATATCGTATTTTTTCCTTCTTTGAAGGCTTTTTAAAATTTATTTTCGAAATTGATTGATAGGAAGTTTCCAATGGATTTATATAATTTTAAATTGGCATTTAAGACTTAATCTTCCAGTCTCTTGATTATTCAATGAGTAAATTAGATATAATATCCATCTTTATAAACTACTCCGATTCTGGCTTTTTTCGTTGTTCAGCTTTCATGAAATAGCTTAATGCTATAGTTTAAAATCCAGTGAATCTAGCTAGTAAGTTGTCTATAAAATTACTCGCAATAGAATATAATATTTCACATTATCTACAAGGTAGTGTTGGTAGTCAGTTTTCAGCACTTGAATGAATGAATTAAACTCAAATTAACACCCGTTCATAACCGAAAGCATCATGTCAAGCAAGATGTCGAAGTTTTTAAGTCCATTTAGTTAGTTTTTATCAATAATAGATATTTCATTTGTGCTTTATCAGAAATAATCACGAAGATTTAAAACAGTTATCGGTTATCTAAATGAAATTAAAAAATACAATGCTATGAATTTCCAGTTATATTTTTAAGACTGAAAAACTTAGAAACAAATAAATGAGATGATATTAGACTTTTGTTCTGATGCTGCAGCTGTACCAAACAAAGTGTATCACTTATGTCATCTATTTCTTACTTAGCTTGACATTGTGAAGATGAAGTTAAGTAATAATCCTGTGGAAGAGCACCAAAGTATGTTTTCAAGTACATAAATGTCATGTTCTATTGTTTTATCTGCTTCAGATAGCCCTTCAGAACAAATTTTCATTAGATGTCACTTTGGCACTCTTGGGGAATTTTTTATGGACCAAATTCAAAATGGCCACCATCCTCGATATTCCGAATACTGTCTTAACTTTGCATCTAGGGCACCCATGGCCATAATATAAAAATATATGTTTGCGGATTTAAAGGAATTCATTTATTATGATTTTTAAACCAGGCCTTCAACACTCCCTACTAATAGTAGGGGTTGTTGTTGCACTAGTATTAAGGAAGGTTGTTGGACTTGTAGAAAGGGGTGTAATAAGACTGGTAGTGGAGATGTTGTTGGACTGATAGTAACAGATGTTGTTGGATAAACTTTTCCACCAGAATTTATGAAAATATTATTTGGATAAAAGTAACAATGTGTCAAATTGTACAGGATTCCTGAAGATCTTTATTGAGTATTGGACGTTTTAATTTAATTTTCGATATAATAATGTGTTCACAGGGAATAAAAAGCCAAAGTGCCACCCGGTGGAAATGTGTTCAGAAGGGCTAGCCGAAAATACAATAAAGATTGTATGTACTCCAAAACATACTTTCATCAAAATCTGATACCAGACTAAACTCTTAAGACACGCAGAAGTGATTTACCTAATCGCAGAGTGGCATCAGGTACCTCTAAATGGCGAATATTCTTAAAAAAAAAAATGTTAAGAATTGGGCTTAGATTTTATATGTGCAGGCTTTAACTCTAATGCCATAATTTGACCAAGATTCAGTTCATATGGCACTCCGCATTTTTGTGGGTCAAATTCTTTTTTCCTAAAATTTGTGAAAACCTACACCAAAATCTGGAGAAATGTGTCCTTTAACTATCTTAAAATTTTCACTAAAATAAAATCCAACTGTTAAATTTTTAACGCCAAAACTATTTAAAAATATTACGTAAGTTTGCATAAACTTTAGAGTTCGTAATGCTTTCTGTACGCCTACATGAAAAAGACGAAACTTGGTGGATTCTTTGTAATCAAACCCGACTGAAAATCAGAAAAATCGAGTTATTAACCCTTTTGTTGAATACGCTTTCCATTTTTGACTCTGAACACTTAAAGGCACGATTCTTGCCAGATTTTGACAAAACTTGGTTATATTATTCAGTATCACCCCAAAAAGTTCAAAAGATGTAGAATATTTCATAGTAGTAATTGTTACTGTACTGGCAATTTTTTTTTATTCAAAATCAAAAATGCAAGTAGGCTATATTATCTTGCCTGGCAAGCTATCTTTGGAATCTGTTAGAAAACTACTGTGCGGATTTAAGTAAACGCCTAATTGTAGAGAAATTTCTTATTTCAGATCAGAATAAGAACAGACGAAAACCCAATATCAAGACCCTTAATCCTAATTTCTAAAAAAAGTGTCTGCTCCACCCTAGGCCTGTACATTTGGGAGAATCAAACCCTCCCTTCCCCGAAATCTAATAATATCTAGCCATTATAAAACCAAACACCAAAACAAAGTCAAACTGCTTAATTAACTATTAGTACTCTACGTATTTAATGAAGCCTTTTAAAATAAACTAAAATATATTTTGTAAGTAATTACATAGATATAAATAGCATACTTTAGAAATATTTTTCAGGAATAATTTACATAAAAGATAGCTTGCCAGGCAAGGTGATCTACGCCCACTGGCAGCTTTGATTTTAAATTAAATATTTCATATTGTGCCTTCTAGAGTGTTGACGTGCTAAATATTGAACGCATTTTTAAGAACAAGGGCAATAACTCCTACTAAATATTTTCCGATTTTTATGATTTTAAATAGAGTTCATCCTTGGGTGATAACAAACACTCACACTAAGTTTCATCAAAATCTGTCAAGAATTGCACCTTCTAGACTGTTAACGAGCGTTTCAAGAACAAGGGCAATAACTCATACTAAATATTTTACGTGTTTTCTGATTTTCAATAGGGTTCATCCTTTCATATGGGCGTATAAAAATTGGAATGCCCATTGTGCCAAATGTGTTGCATATTTGGATGATAAAATGATTGTTGCGCAGTTATTCTTCTGAAATCCAATAATATTGCTCTACGCAATTGTATCTTCCCGTTCAGTCGGTTGATAGAGTTGAGAGCTCGGGATTGAATAGGTCTGCTAACCTCCCGCTGCTTAGTCCTGCTTAGACAGAGATGGGGCAGAGAAAGTATACATGCACTTATCTATGCTGAGTTGCAGCTTTTTCCAACAAAGCTCTTTCTAGTTATTATTTACTATCGATCTGACAAGCTGCCGCTTGCTAATACAAATCACTATCAGGTAAATATGTACTGTGACAATATATGTACTTTATCTTTGACGATATGCTAACGCAATGTCTTCGAAATTCCATCTTCATTAGCCTACATGGTGCAGAAAAGTAGGACATAAAACTCCATTCATTTCATTTCATTTTCGAAAGTCAGCAAATAAACGGCTGACACAGTTTTACGACCACTGTATATCATGGCTTCACTAAACAAATGAAAAACATACAGGCAAACCGTGGGCACAGACAACTGTCAAGGTAAAAAATCTCAATAAGTCATATTAAAAACTTTACGTTACGAAACTGAATTATTGTCATTTCATATCTTTTGAAATATATTACAATTAAAAATCATATTGGTGTTTACTATAATGTAGATATGGGTTTATCTATGTTTCAGAACCTTTATACCAGTGAAGAATTTATTGAATAATATATCAAATATCATGCAAACATCAAAAGAATTACTTCACTACAAAAGAATCACACATATTTCATACTTGGTCTAACATGATCAATTTTAATGGTTAATGGCAAGATTTTGGAAGTCGCGAATGGTCTTTGAGCTGAAAGTAGGTGTTATAAATGAGATCATTTCGATGTTCTTTTCTTGAGGTTGATGTAAACTTATGTGTAGACAACTTTCATTAATATACTGTTATTGTCAACAGACAGAGCAGGGTTAGCATCAGTTGGAAAATGATTTCGACGGCGTGTTGAAGAGTATGATTTGTTTACTTATCTTGGGCTAATTATATGTCTCGTTTAAATAACGCACTCCGAGTAATTACAGGCACTGAAAACTGTTATTAATTTATCACTTCAAAGTTAAATGAACAATTTGTAGACGAAAGACATAGGAATTCTGTTTATTTACTCCTATAAGATGGCTTCGTTTGACAGGATGATTATATACCGTTTATAACTGACCAGATGCCCCCTCCGACGTCCGCGTCAGAAAACCAGCATTAAATGGTCCGTAATTAAGTTAATTATATGACTTCCAACTCGATGAACAATTAGTATTTACATATAACAGTCTTGATTATGTCGTCTAGGGTAAGGGGAATGTAAATGTCGTATTCTCCAAATGATATAGGCACTCCATTTTTTGGCTTCTCTTCTAAACGTTGCTGTAAACATACCTAGAAATATAAGGTAATTATCAGAACAAGAAAAACAATCCATTGTCATCTTAAAATGCATGTAATGCCTGTGGCCATCCAATTAGACATATAGAATGAAAAAGCAAGAAATTGATTGAGGTTTTATGAATATACAAGAAGAACATTTATCAACATAGTTTATAGTTGAATTTTAGATCAAGATTTTCAGAGTTATTGCGAATTTTACATCTTACAACTAAATTCAAGGTACAAGAACTTGTAGAATACACACATACGTATATTAACGATCTGAATGGTAATATTCTTAGATTTGGATAGTTAAAGCTAAAGATAACAAAAACCTACATATCATATTACACTGACAAGTTTACCAGTTTCGGCGCTCTGGGGTCATAGACACAAATTGTAAATAATTTATTAAAATACATGTCCTAAGCAGACAGAAGGACGAAAAAGTACCGAAAGCAACAAAACAAAACGACAGACTTACCATAAACCATGGGATCTATACAGGCATTTGACACAGCAAATAAAAACAACCCTCTCTGGACTTTCGGATCTATTCTTGAGGCTGCGTCTCTGTTCAAAATAAAAGTTCACATATGAATTCTCAATTAGAAATACATATATTCCAAACGAATTCATTCTAGAAAAAGCATCCTGTTCTGTCCAAAATGATGGAAAATTTCTAACATCGCTTTCATAATTCGTATTTTGATAAAAAAAAAAAACTTTTGGGCTTGGACTCAACTCAAGGCGGGCCATCGACAAGGATTTACTTTTAATTTACTGGAATAGGTTAAATATAATTAAAAGCAGCTTACCTGTTGAACCACCATAATGCTGACATGAAGAAATAAGGCGTCCAACACAGAATAAAAGCACTTACTGAAAGAATAAACAGGCCTCGTTCAAATATAACATTTTCAAGGTAATATGTAGAGAAATCTGAAAATGGACCTGGTCGTAATATAAAAAATAAAAATGAAGATGAAAGGCAGTATTATCATTTGTTATCAGGGCCATGTTGTCAGCTACTCAATAGTGAAGGCTTTTTGTAACCAGGAACTTAAGTTTGTTTGGATGATTTCATAAATTCAAGTAAACAGAAAAAAAACGAAACGAAATAATTAGAGCTGTGGTGTTTTGTGGTATAGAACACACATGGACACATAATATATACATATATATATTAAAATCCAACTTCTTTATGACACCGACCGCCCTAACCGGAGGTAAAACATTGCGCGAAAATTGGTATGACTAATATTTATGATCACAAAATGAAATGAATGGAGTCTTACGTCCTACTTTTCTGCACCATTTAAGATCACAGATTAGTATACAGGGGTTGTTGAATAGAAAGAAATAATCGATACAATACCTTAAAGGGATTATAAAGAGGTTTCTTAACTTTTTATCTGTTATCAATTTCAATCCTCTTTACAATCCCTTTAAATAATGTATATCCGTTATGGGAAAAACATGATGCTGATTAAACGCATTTCCAATATCCGTGTCTTTTTAAACTTCCGGTTAGACCGGAAGCGAGATTGAGTGACTGTCTATTAATAACAATCCTATTGATTTTAATGTCAGGATAAAACAGGGACTGTTTGAAAACTATGCAACAAAGATGTTACCGGCTGGATGTGATCAATTTACAACATGTACATTTGTTAAGATAATTGTATTTAGGAATTTTCATCACCACAAATAGAATGTGAAAAGCACAACATTAAACCCTTTTGTATCACAGAAATAAGTCTTTGATTCTATTAATTTGACGTAATGTGAAGCAGAGGACTAAGTTAGTTTTTTGGCAGGAAACTATAACCATTCTTAATTTGACATAATTCTTTGTGACACGAAAATCAAAAGTTAAATTCTGCTAATACTGACCGACTGTCTTAGACATACAATATCCCATAATTCTCACTTTAAGTTGGCAAATCCTTTATTGAACAGAGCAATTGATTGGTTGAATATCAAATTACTGAGAATATCTCGCATATCCATATCGTCAGATCATGGATGGCAGATGCATTCACCAAAAGAAAAAAAGAAGAATCCAGATCTGAAGTACAATAAGATTTATAAGATCTTCTCGTCATCATCAGAAAGAGTCTGGACGATTATAGATGATAGCACACCACTTTCATATAAATGTACGCAAACTTGGGTGTTGAACTCGTAATTTGAAAGGTGAAATGGGTGGTTATCTTTTCTATTTATTTGTTTGTGATCCTAAAATATAAACGGAGCCATGTCCTCAGTCGAAGAACAATTGATCAACTCACCTATTACTAAGGTCATTTTTAACGTTCTGATTTTAGCTTTTCCGATTTTTCCGGCTGAGGAGCACCTGATAGCAGCTTGATTTCTCCGATGACAGCCTTGTATTAAAGATACTGAAAATAAATGTAATACCAATATAATCTGTAATTACATTAATGAGACGATGTAGTTAGTACACCTGTAACGGTCACCAGGGTTAAAGTTCAACACGCAATACCGCAACGAAAGCTTAATCTAATCCGAAATGAAATGAAAAGAATGGAATTTTACGTCCTACTTTTCTGCTATTCTAATCCGAGTGTCCATATTTATTATATTAGTGAACCCAGTGGACTTCAACAATCTGAAGAAAAAAATATGTCTCTGTTACGGTTGTATGAAACAACTTACTAGTAAGCTTGGTTTATTATGTCACAAATTATCATGTCACTAATATTGGGATAAAAGAGGTCCAAAGTGGTATATCAATGTAATTACATTTGTGAGTAATATTGACCAGCAATGGCAGGTGTGGCGAGAGGCACAGTATGATTACTCTGATACCACATTTCACAATACAATACTTCCTTATTTATGATTAATATATTTATACTTGAAAAGTTCATTAACTGTTAATAATGTAGAGCCGAAATGTACATTTTGATTTTGGTTGGTTTTGTTTTGCGGTTCGGATCAGTGGTACCTGTTTTTTGTATTATTGCTTTACCTACCGAAAACTGACTTCAGGTTCCTTAGACTGTTATCTTAAGAACTTAATTAAGTCGACTATCATTTATAAGAATAACATGGCAGAGACATGAGAGCTTCTTTAATATGACAGTGAAAAATATAGACAACTATATCCTTCAGGGAGGCTTTAGACGTTGTTATCCTAACCATATTGACCCTACTTCACGCCACAACATAACACTTGAAGCACAATCACTGCCGAAGATTGATGAAGGTTAAGACACTTTCTACATGATTATTAAATGAGGTAGACTATCGTAGGTTTGCAGTTATTTCTATTTCAAAGGGAACATGTTCGAGTAAGCTCATGGGAATGTTCTTTTTTGCAAATTGGAATATAAAAATAGTCATGGGATTGAGAAGATTAACTTGAATGCCTACCAGCTGTTGATGGTAAAACAGTTGCAAGTGGTTCATTTCTGGTGTTCTGATTTCAAGTGTTGTTTTGTCTCCAAAATGGAATTTAAAAATATAGCCCGTAGCCCAGATATAAATAATCTTTAATTAGCTGACAATATCCTAACAATGATCCCTTCGAGCTGTTGGTGGGCGATAATGCCGATATACCGACTTACAGTTGCCTTGTTTATCATGAACTCAATGTTCTAGGCTACGACAGACGGTGACCTTTTAAATATTGTCTAAACTGAAATAAAGATCATCTCCAAGAAGTTTGAAATTGCTGGTATGAATACACCAGACCTCTTCATCCGAAGCTTGTGACAACTAAACCAAAGACGCCGGATGAGAACTATTAGTCACGGAATATCTCATATATATAAATTCTAATATTAACAAGAAGTATTGTGTATTTTTCCAGAAATGTTTAAAGTTTTATTTCCAACATATTTCTGAGTAATTCAATCTCATTGAATAAGATGTTTTTGTGAAACAGTCGTATATATTCCTGTGTTGTAGGGATTATTTCCATGTAAAACATAACAGTTTAAAGCAGATACCATATATTAAACCAGAGCAAAATTGTTAAAATCAAATTGATAAACCAAGTACTAACGATCCGACCCGAAATCCAAGAAACAATACAATGGCGAATCATTGGTAGCAGCTAATGAACATGAGGAACGTGAATAATTAATTCATAATGAGTAATTCAGCCTCATTGAATTAGATGTGTGAAATGGTCGTTTATATGTCTGTATTGTAGGATTTATTTCCATGTAAGAACATAGCTTAAGCCAAAGTCTTCCAATACATCAACCTCGAGAAAAAATTGTTAAACTCTGATGATAAAACAATGGTACTTTGTAAGATTAAAAACACTTAACACAAAAACCCATGAAATTTACATTTAAAAAGTTGTAGTACTTCAATTTCGTCAAAGTCAATATTAGCTGAGATCTTCTTACCCACGAACCAACAATCATATTTTCTAGCAGTTGCCAGTGCTCTGGTGTTTTAAATGCTGTTTTTTTTATTGTCAATGGCTTCTTTGTTTATGGCAATATAAAGAAATTTGAATATTGAGAACCATTGGTTAGAATCTGTCTCCGTTCAAAAAATCTACAACTGCTGCGTCCGTCAAGCTTCGATTCTTGAACTATTCCACCAATAAATAAATAACATTTCCAAATTCGTGCTTCAAATTTTTATATAACATAATATACTCACTTGTTCTTTCGTGTTTTTTCATATTTGCATTTCTATGAATTTTACACAATATTAAGGAATATGAAGTCGTTATCACAGCCAATGGCATCACATACACAGTTATAACATTAAATAAATTGTAGGCTAATTCATGACTTTGGGACGGAAAAAAGTTGAAAGTTACACACTGTTCAAACCAAGCGAACACTGGATGTTGTTCTACATGGAAAATGACACTCTGAAAGTAGAAAATATAAGACATTAAACACAACCGCCACATAAAATAGCTTCAGACTTATCAAGTGGGTCGTTATGGTATAACTTCAGACAAATAACTATATATAAACAATTCCCAAGTGATACCCGAATCTCTGAATTAAAAATCAAATCGATATCGATTGAAGTTAATTAAAAAAATAGCCTGCTTGGTTTATTTTAAGATGTCTACTTTTTTTCTATTTAGAAAGTAAGAGGTCTTTAGATCTTTTGCTGACGTGTTTCGTCTCTTTAGACCAGGAATTTCAAATTGTATCTGGCGAGGTTCTGTCAAACGATGAACCAAACCCTCGGCTATATTCTTGATTGTGTCACTATCACAGTTCAATGTTGTACATTTGGCTAATACTTCGAACCGAATCACTCTTATGAACTATAGAATGGTTTCCATTTGTACCATTGTAAGTTATGGAGGCTACAGACAACACCCAACTCTCAATCATAATCTAGAGGATGTGCACTGTTTTATTATCATCAGAAGAAGCACCAATCCCTGGATCATTTCTCAGATTGTTGTCCACAATTACTGCTGTTCTCTTTTCGGCAGAAACGACAACAGTGTTGAACTGTGCGGTGTATATGGTCACTGGTTTAATAATCTCAGCATGTGTATTTACTATAACAGGAATAATAAATTTTTGATAGATCCAACTAAACTATACATGATATATAAAGAACTTTAAAGAATAAAAACAATTAACAAACAATAACATATTACAACGTATACAGATTGTCGTGGATGAGGTAGGAAACAAAAACAAGATTATAAAATACAGAGGTCAGATTGACATGCACGTTTAGATACTCTTTTTCCTTGAATTTAAATAGGATTTTTATCGATTTAATTGAGCTATAATGAAATTTGTAGAAATTCGATTTTCTTAAAGCAATTTATGATTTATCATGTCATATCAAAAGCCATCTTGACACTTACACGGTTTTTTGTCCCCGAAATGTGAAGCAATTGGTCGTGGCAAGGTGTACCATTCTAGTTCCTCTCAGTGGAGCACAGGGTTTGCGACCTGGAGCCTTATTCTACAAAACTTAACTTAACTTAAATAAAATTTAAAGTTTTCAAAAATAAGGGCCCAGTTCGCGAATTATATAAACATGCATACATAACGCAATCCATGACCGAAATATTGGCCTGGATGCGCTAAGTTATAAATTGGTTGTACATTGTTCACGCTTTGAAACGCACCGCCAGTAGTGTTTGTGCCTAGTGTGCGCAGTGTTCATCCACCTCCCACACGTCCCATATTCATATGTCAGGGAAAAGGAAGTTTTTTCACATTGTCAAGTTATTTAAGAATCAATGCAATAGTCCTGTTGTGATAACTGACAACTAGCTTCCTATGAATATTGACAAAAAGTCATTCAACTAGTTGTTGTTTTTCTAATTGATATAATCAACGGTCTGACAATTTCCTGCAGTCATTAACAATTCTTTTGATGAAGTCGCAGAGATTCTGATAAACAAGACGCATGTCTGCCAAGGTAAAATTTGCCAACAGGAAAATTGTGTAGCCTTTGGGAAATTCAGAAATATCAAGTGTAATAGGGTGCATTTTTAACCAAACTTGATATTTTATTTAATTGTTGTCTGGTTTTATAATGCATCTGTATGTTTTAAAGAGCATATAATTACTAAATATTGGCCTTACTAACATTAACTATTGTCCTCTCTATTCTCTTAACTTAAACTGATCTGTAGGGTAGTCAGTCCAGTGAGTTGCTGGTGAGTTTTCATCACTTTAGATCTCTCTTAAGTCGTCTCACTTGGACCTTGGATACCAGAGTGGTTTCTTTTTTATCTTTTGAAAATAATATATGTCTGTTTTGAGCCTCAATTTTTTCTACCAAGCTCTACCATCTTTGGAACAACTTTTCTTCAGGTATGTGTGTTTGGGGTATTAGCTAGGGTAATTGTAGTATTTGAATGACTATATTTTAATAGCAAGAAGAGTGATTGTGGTTAATGTTCTAGCTATGTATAGCATCTGGCAGCCATATTTAATATTTCTGTTTCACCTGCATTTAAGACACTTCATTATACTTTTTATAATAATAATCCTTTATTTAATTACAGGTGTAGAAAATAATATAAGTTAAGATAATATCAGTTGTTAGATATACACCCCACCTTTGGGTTAGTATTCATGTTTACATATATTTTCTCTGTATATATTATCCATATTAATTTATCAAAAGGTGCTATATTTAATTATGTGCATATTACTATTTAGCTTACTGTGATAATAATATTCGGTGTTATAGGTTTTAATTGTATATATTATTATTACAGTGTGTTTGTCTATCATGGAATAAAGTTTGTAAGATTCAGAGAGTTTTGAATAGTACCGAACTTTCCAATTGATCCTAATCCAACTTCCAACTACCACGACTACCTAGTTTACGATATCAACATCCACTGGAAGCGAACGTTAACTTATCTACCTATACCTACCCTATACATCAATTAATGGACGTAGCGTTTAATGCATAGCACCTTTATTTTTTAACGTTAACAAGCTATGCCTTTTGTGTTTTTAATGCCATCCTAGACAGATTTTATGGTGGTCATATTGTCGTTATATGGCTAATGGTGGTTAATATTCTACACCATGTATTAATACCAATCTACTTTATAAAACTGTATCAAATGACTATCGGTAATTGTCAGGTAAACAAAAACGAGTCTATTTATCCTCCACATGACTATATGTAACTTGCGTTATCAAGATATTTAAGCAAAAATAGATTTTAGTTTGACTTAAGGAAATAACATTTTTCTTTTTCTGCAATTTGTCTTATATTAGAGATCTTTGACCAGAGATTTATGAGTGATATCATATTGAATCTTTAAAAAAAAAACACCTACAAGCAAGATAATTCCGTTAGTCAAAAATCTCGCCCAAAGAATTGCAAAATCAGGATTAAAGTTTATGGTAATATCATCAGGTATTTCGAAGAGAGTAAGCGTGCTCTGCTTCGCGCGCGGCATCCGCCACTTCTATAATGGTAAAATCACAAAATACAACCAATACAATCAATTCATGTCTGACCAAACAAATCATCAGCGATATTGATAATATTATGGATTTGGCATCCTTTCCATCTGGTACACCACCTTAACCATTAAAACTAAAAAAAAATATGTCTATGATCAAGGCGTATTACTGAATGTAAGCGTATTACTGTCTGTAATTACTACCTCTGATGCCACTAGGGAGACGCACACTTTGCCGAGCTTGACAGAAATTCAAATTAATTCCTAGTCCTCAGACAATAATATAACTGGTAGCGAGAAAAATAACTCTCTAATCTCTATGATCGAGAAAAGTAACAAGAAAACGAATTAATTATAAGTTTACATTAAAAAGTTTATTGTTGAAGTCTCATTCCGATTGGTGACCTGCATAACAGCCTCTAATACTTTGTGCTTTCCGTTGTCTTTTACAAGTTAATTTAAAGCCTTAATCACAGACACTTGACGCGTAAATCATGAAATGGAAAAATTGTTAAATGTCTAGTATATATATTTTTTTTAGAATATTTTTCTCATTATTTTCATGATTTAAATGTCACGTCCCAGTACGCTATGAGACAGTGTTTAGATTCCAAGCAATTCTGGAATACATTTTCTTCGACTTTTGAAATTACATATTATAGAATGACATAAATATTGCAGTGTCGCTAGAAAAAGTAATATCACATATATTTGGAGTTGGTCTAGATTTGTTGCTATGAACGTGTACTTCTGCCATATGAACTCGGGGGCGTATCTAGTAATTGGCCAAAAATGAGTGGGGTATCTCCAAGGCGACGCCAAAGGCCAAGGGATTTTAGATGGCCTGGGATGAATTTTTAGCATTTACATTTCACTATCAGATAAGACCTTTCAAAGGCGTCGGGGGGGGGGGGGGGGGGGGGGGGAAAAGGGCCGGGGGGGGGGGGGGGGGCAAAAACCCCAA